CTTTAAACGCAGACGAAAAAGATTGTGATACATTTCCACCATTAGAAATTTCTGAAAGTGAAGATGAAATTGTCAATGATGCAAATAATGCGGTCGTTGTTGAAGTGGTAGAGAACGACAGTGATGAGTCTACAAATGATAATATAAGAGTTGAACATGTTACTGCAATGGAGTCCAATAATGGGGCCAAAATTCAAAGTGGTAATGAGTTTAGAAATAATTATGAAATTTTGGATATAACTGATGAAATCGTTAATGTTGAAATGGATGAACAAGCTGATAATGAGTTTATGAAAAATGGCGATAAAAACGTGGAACATAGTAACACAAAAACTAAGTCTGTTGTTGACGACAGTGATGATGAGATTGTTCCAAATGAAAGTGAGTTGCAAGATGAGAAAAACACAAGCAGTTCTCATGTGTTGGAGAATAATGGGAATAAAAATGTACAGCAAGAAAAAAGTAAGTTAAAATTATAAGTGTGTGTATTTTTTAATATTCATAATTTACTCAAAAAGTCATTTCTAATATGATTACTCAAAACCTAGTAGTTTCACGAATTCCCTTTAACCATGGCACAAATATAACGATACCATTTCGATATTTATAGTTTCTAACCACGCTTTCATCGAAATTTGTCATTTATGGTTTTCAAGGGTTCTCAAATCTATTTTACACATCATTATTGGGCGTGATCTCCTTGAATTACATTAAAACTAAACGAAAATAATGTATGGCTTAACACATTTTTTAAACAAATCTATTGTATGATACATTTAGCAATAGAAAATTTATTGTATGAGACATCTATTGAAAGAGACAAAATGTATCGCATGATACATTTCTCACAAACAATTTATTACATGATATATTTCTTCGAAAAAGTATTTACTCTACAGATCATGTATCCCAAGACATGAGACATTTTCTATTATAAATGTGATTTTTGGTTAAATATGTATTGTTTCGTATTATCTTATTTATTTTATATTTTTATAAATTTACCTAGGTAATACAACAAAAAATAAGTGGCCTGAATTACAAATGTCTCTGCTAGAACTAGAGTCCAAAATGGAGGAAGAGGATATATTAAATTTTGAGGAAGACGATGATGATTTAGATGCTCTCGTATTGGATACTTCATCCTGTGGTTTCGAGTAAGAAAAAAAATCCTTTTTATTTATTTTTAATTTCTAACTAAATCTGTAAACTTTTGAGATACTAACAAAATTAGATTGTAAATAATATACATATTAAAAAATCAACTTAGTAATTACCCCACAGCAAGATTTATTGCAATTTTTCCATTAATATATTATTTTTCCAAGCTCTCCCAATGAGGACCGTTACCAAAATTCATCATTAATGTTATCGGAAAACAGCAACAACAAAGACATCATAACACCTCTCTTAGATATTAACACAACAACGAGTAATAAGAGTTCAACTGAGGTGCCTAAATTTCCCAATTTAGATAATATTTTAAATTCGAATGACAAACATAATCCAGCCTCAGCAGAAATATTTAAACATTTTAAAATACCGAAGAAAATAAATCCAACAGTTGCCACTAGCTCCTCCACCAACACCAAAAGTCACAATAATACTAACAAAATACCTGACAAACACAATCATCCCATTGTACAGTTGGTCAAAATGCCTTCGTTGAATACTGATAGTATCAAAATTAAAGATTATTATGCTATGCTGAAACCACCGAATACAAATTATTCAAATATTAATCGAATAATAAAGAATGAATCTAATACTGCTGTTGCTACTACAATAGTAGCAAAGGAAAATTCTAAACAAGAGACGTCCCTCCTCATCCCACCTGCTGCCACAACATCAATACAAAAACAACAAACTATATTTAAATGTACTTTTAATAATGTTCCCGCCGATATACTGGCAATTAAAGAATCAGAACCACAACAACAACAAACAGTTAAAAGTGGCCTTAGTCCTCCTCCTACCATTACCAGTGATGCAAATCGACAGCATTGTTCCTCTTATGGCATTAGAAATGTAGCAGCAATATTTGGTATAACATGTCTGGAACATCTTGCAAATTTATGCCACAACCCACTGTTCTGTAAAAAGTCCCATCAAATTAATGACACCGATGTGGTATTACAAACACTAAACGCCCTGAACATATCGGATTTTAATACAGCCTATTCCTTCGTGTATAATCATCACAAATTATATCGACAATTTTTCAGTATATTTTGTAACATACACACACTACGTAATAATCGCATGATACTACTGAAAATGGTAAATGACTGTGAACGTTATCCGGAACAAGCTGACAATCTAATTTTACTTTTCGATTCATTGGTCAAATGTGGTCTAAGTCCCGTGAATGCCTGTCGTCTCATGTTGAAGCGCAGTCGTGATAGATCTACACCGGTAATTGATGCGCTGGTCGCCATAATAATGAAATCCGATTGGACAATGTTTTCCGATTATATGGAGAGTTTTACAAACGATAATACACAATATCATTATCGTATACCCGTACTAGAGGAAATGGCCATCGGTCTGCTGAATAATACCACCAGTAATCAGGCCCCTCAATTGAAACAAGTATTTTTTAAGTGTGTCCAAACGGTACATCTGGATGAATTACCGCTGTTATGTTCACCGAATTTACTGCAGTGCCTTGGTCTTATGGCAACTAGTAATTAGAATAAAAGTGTTCCTGCCGGCCACACACTTTTATTTTATTCAAATCGACATTTATATACTGACTGACGGTATGCCAATATTTTATTAATTTTTATTTTATTTTCTATATACATACATTTTTAATTTTAATTTTATTTTTACAGGTTTACTTACCTTTCAAAAAGGTATTGAAATTAATGTGTATTTTCTTTATTCCTTGGTATATACCACAACCAACCTATATTATATATGATTTTTATGTAATTTTTTATTGATTTATTTTTTTAACAATTGATTTATTAATGAAAACATGTGTTCCTCTTATATCCCAAAAGAAAAAAATGAATTCTATCTTTTTATGTTGAAAAAAATATGTACCAAGTTTTGTATACCTTCATGCGACAATAAATTCAAATTTTAATTTTAACTTCCCGTTCCAAACCAACTATTATTACCACATAGCAACAGATTTCAATTGTTATTAGCACGCCACACACATACAAAATTATATACGTGATTGCAATTAAAATAGGATATCGATAAAATATGAGGGAGTTGAGAGATGTGTTTTGCTAATTTCAAAGCTGTAGATAAAACAGATACCTGGTAGCACTAGTACCTTACTTACAATGTATGATCACAGTTAAAACTAGATATATTGTCGAGCGGACAAAGAAAGGCTTTATGTGTTTTACTTAAGTCAAGCGAACTATTAAAAATAACTGGGTACGACCCATTCTGACATATGGTTGTAGTAGTTGAAAGATCGTTCCTGAAATTTTTGGTTCCTTAATAATGGCAGAAAATGGAAAAAATTTATTTGTTAATAGAAGAACAAAATTGGATAGAGACATTTTTGGTTCGGATGAACAATTAAAAAAATTATGTGTCGTTAGGGCTTTGCATTTATATTATTTATTACCACCTTGGATGACTTCAGATAACATCTGAAGTCCTGACATAGATGTCGCGTAGGTTGATTAGCCACCACCATGATAGCATTTAAGGAACAGGAACAGATAGCGGCATAATGGTGCCTTCACAGATGTGATAGACACCTGTCATCTGTACACAGTCCGTTGCAATTCGGAGTGCATAATTTTGTGTTGTTTTCAAGGATGTGTCTCTGAGGAAGGATGTTCAGACTGGGTTGCTTAATAAGGGATGGAGGAACCATAATTTTGTGTCACTAGATGAATTCTCACCATTTCAGGGGGCGGCATAGAACTTAATAATTTTGTCTACCTAGTTCGCGTGTATCGTTGGAATTTGTCAAAACCATATATCAGAATGAACTGAAATGATGGTCATAACCTGGGAAAATGTAGAAGGGAAATCAGATTATATCTAACATACAGCTGGATGAAGAACGCGAGTACTGGCCTCTATCCATTCATATACTGTTGAAAGGTTCTTTGTGGAGGCAGGCGAATGACATTATGCGGCGAACTAACAACATGCCCATTTTGCTATCGTCTAAATGTTCAAGTTTCATATAAATGAAATAATATATATTCTTTGGGGGCAACATTCAGAAAATTTTGCCCTAGTAGTTCTTTTGATGCTGATAATCCCCATTTTTCCAACTGTCAATAGGTTGTCGTAAATGGCTTGATCTTCAGTCAGATCCTATTAATTATTAACGCGGAAAGAATCTCATACTGTATAGTTAATTTTGATTTCAATTATTAATAATAATTGTTGTTGTTTTTATTATACGGAAACTTTTCCAATTCTTAAAACGCAATTTGGTTCGGTTGTTTACATCTAGAATCTGTTAACTGCTCAAGAACGACATTTCACAATTCTATACTATACACTACGGCCACCCCATCTCCAACAACAATTTGTTAATTTCACTATATAAATATAACAACAAAAAAAACAACTCGTTTTTTTTTTGATAAACAAATTTGTCTGTCATGGCCGCCTTACGCACCAACAAACAAAACAAAAAAGGCAACAGTGGTGGGGGCTGCTAATGCCACGCGTATTTATAGCTACCCTATTTACGCGGTAAGGGGTAAGACGATTCCAAGAAATTAAAAATAATAAAACACACAAATTCCGTGATCACTTGTTGATAAGATTCTTTTTATTATAAAACAATTATTAAAAAACATTTTGCATTTATATAAAAATAAAATTATTTGTTTCTCCAATGAGTAATGCAAAAAAATAAAAACCAAAAAGTATTCGAAAAAATACAAAAGTTCAAATAAACGAACCAAATAGTATATTTCTTTTAAACATTTACAATAACAAAAACAAACCACTATAAAAAACTTAAAAATCTATGTAGTTTCTCCTTTTGTTTTTTGTTTAACACTAAATTAATTCACCCTTTTCATTAACTCTAATGACTTTAACATTGTTGCTATTCTCGGCAAGCACCTCATCAAAACTTTTACCCTTCGTATTTGTAAACCATCCCACATTGTCGATGATCAAATGATTTATGGAACAGCCATCGCACTGTAGGATCACAACACCGCTTGTATATGCCTCTTCGGAAACCTTTTTGCTGTTTCGGGTATTACAAATTTTACAACGATAGACTATGTGAATTTTACGCGACATCCGACGATATTGTTGAAGCGTTGTTGGCGAGATTGATCCGGACGAAGTTGCTGGCAGTTTCTTGCCCGTAAAGACGGTGGCATCTAGTATTGTTTTTGGTATTAGCAAAGGTTCTTTTGGCCGATTTTGATCGATTTTCTTCACCTCAGCTCCGGTGTTTGGGTTGGTCTGGGCGGCAGTGTCCACCGGTTGTGTGATGTTAATAAGCGCATTTTGTCCATTTTGCCGGAGGTAGTTTAGTGTACGCGAACTAAAGAGGTTACGCAACGAGTTCATGTCTTTTTAACGTATTTAATTATTTACAATTGACACATTACGCCTCTTTGGATATATGATGTTTGTTATTTATTTCACGATCTAATTTTGTTAGCACGATACACTATACCTTAATGTTGTTGGTTTTTGGAGAACCTCTTTCGCAAATGGTAAAGCTTTTGTTTTGTTCTGTTTGTTTCTGGTGGTAGCTTGGACTGATTAGAGTTGTATCAACATCCATTAATAAGGTCTTCTTCTTCTTCAGACATACGTTGCCATATGTCAATTCCACCATAATTAGGGGAGGAATTATAAAGTGACACGAGACACTATGTCTATATTGCCACTTTCACGGGTATTAATATATATTTTTTGGGAATATTGTAAATTTGGTCTTTTTCACGTGTAAAATTGTAGTTATGAATTGTTTTTTAATTCTTAGATTTTGATGTCTGCATCTTTGTAATATTTCCATAAAGCGAAGTAAGCTTTGACGTTGTTCGATTTTAATATGATGTCGATTGAAGTTTGGTGTATGTCAACATTTTGTAGTTTTTGCATTAGGAAAAGACGTATGTTGATGTTGATATTCGGGCATTTGAACGTAATATGATCCATTAATAAGGGTCGCCCAGCTAACGGAGTCAGCTGTTTTTTCTCAAGTTTAATTCAGCTGATACCCAGCTGGTTTCACAGGGTTGTTCTCAACCAATTAAAATGAAAAACGTTCCACTTGCTAAAGAATGGGGGAGAAGATAAAATGACTGTTGACACACACGAAAACTGTCCGAGTTGTACAGTTCAATTGAGTGATTCACATAAAACAACTAATCAACTAGTGCCAGAGCTATTCACTGTATAATGATTACTCATCATACTAGACACTGTAAAGTTTATATTGTAAATTTCTAAAAAAATATTAAATTTAAATAAATAGTTTGTTTTGAGTCTTATAGTAAAATTTAAAATTGACACTATGATGAATATTATAGTCCTATATACCATGGTACAATAATACAAGGTAGGGGAGCTTGAGTTGAATAACAAAAAAGCAAGTATATAGGAGGTGACTTCTTCTGCCATATATAAAATATATATACGCAACAAGTGGTTATGGTTATTTAACTAAAACGCGAATAATGAATGAAAGATTATGATTTCTTTCCAAAATCCAGTAAGGAATACCATGAAATATTTGTTTCATCCACAACAAAGTAATTACTTCCAGATGGATGCGTTAAAAACATCATTTTCATTTCAATTAAATTTAAATATATTTTAATTTATTTGACATAATATTCAAAAAAATACACATATGCACAAAGTTTGTATTTTGATTTGATGGAACAAGCCACCATGAGAAAAAATTGTAATCAGTTGGTAGATGTGCCCTACCTTGTAATAATTATACCGTTCTTTATACCATCCTTTTAAAACGACATTTTGACGTTTTCATTTTGTAGACTATTCTGATCTATTGTAACCCCGTTTTAAATACGGTTTCAATCATTAACTGAAGGTTAACGTATTAGACAAAAATATTCCTCGCATTGATATCATTAATATTGCCAAATACATCATATCCTACAATTTTGAAGTTTGTTGCACAGTGTTATACATTCTCAGAGATATGTATCCACATCTATAATGTTCAGTGCCACCCATTATTTATTTTTTGTAGACTTGCCGAAATAAACAAACAACAGCTGACTGAATCATAATAGTCTAAAATAACCTATAAATATTTGTATAGAAAAAGCCGCTATATATCGGTCGGTATATAAAAAAAATGAATTTAAATAAATTTTTGCGTTTTGGATTATACTTGAATAAATCTATCCTGTTTACCAATATACGTAGTTCGAGCAACTTCAGAAGACCACATGTGATAGCCAAGGTGGATCAATTGGCCGAAGTTAAAGCAACATATTTAAAAAATCGTTCGGAACTAACAAATTCGGAATGGCAGAATTTAAAAGATTTATTAATTAAAAACTACAAACACATTAATAGAAACAATGTGGATGCGGTTATTGTTGGCATCTGCAACGAATCGCAACAATTGGCACTGGCCAAAAGTTATGTCAAACATTTACGGGCGAATGGTGTTGAACCGAACGATGCCACTTTGGGTAAATTGTTACGTATTTATAACAGTGTCTATCATGCCAGGGGTGGTAGCGAGAATTCCTTGACCATGGAAGAGCGGAACGAAATATTAGAAATATATCAAAATATCCGACGAAAACATGATGTCTTAGATTCCCTGTCATGTGAGAATCTTGTTCATGGAATAGTTTGCACCGAACAGTGGCGTGATGGTGTTGAGCTTATGGAAATGATGAAGTTAACTGCTGCACCTAGTTTACCAGTATTCAATGAGATGATAATCAAAGCATTTCGTATGCAAGATTTGGAATTGGGCTGGAAGCTATTACAGCAAATGTTGGAAGAACGGAAGCAGCCTAAATGTGAAGTTTTTCTCACGTACCTACAACTCATTACAAAGGATTTAATCACATTCACAAAGGAATTGGAAAAACTCTTCGGTTTCTTGAAAACACACGATGTGGTTGTGACGAAGAAAACAGCAAATGCTATACATGAATTGGCATGCCAGCACCCAAAGCTGTTAGATGTGTCCCTAACTAAATTAAAACGTCAGGGCAAATGTGTTTCGTGTGGTCATCATTTAGAAAATGTATCACTCTCTGATGATGATTTTCAAAAACTGCAGGATGCATTTTTGGAAAAGGTTCTAATACGTAAAGATGTCTTTCAAAAATCTACACCAGAAGAAGTGAAACGTTTCGGTGAATATATTGAACGAACTGGTCCATACGACTGTGTTATAGATGGCTTGAATGTAGCCTATTCAATGGGTAGTAAGAAACCGCCACAAGCTTTAGCTAATTTGGTATGTAGAAATATTAAAAAAAATCATATATCAGCTAAACAATATTTCCAAAAATCTTTACAATAATTTCCCATTTTCCAGTTAGCATCCGTGGTAAAATATTTCAAAAATCGGAACAAACATGTGTTGGTTTTGGGACGGAAACACATGAATAAATGGCCCCAAAAGACAATGCAATATGTGAAAGAAAACGCTGCAGTGTTTTTGGCAAATGATCTGTAAGTATTCTTAAGGAAAAACTTTCCAAACTATGGTATAGAGTATGGAGACCAAACGAATCTCACTCACTTAATCATTCATTAATATAGCTCTCAGGATGATCCCTTTATGCTGTATGCCACACTAAAAAGTGGCCAAACAACCGACTTCTTTTCACGAGATTTCATGAGACAGCATGCGCATTTATTGGGTCCCGATCTAAAAGTCATATTTCGACGATGGCAGCAGGAACATCAGTATTCCCTGATTACACAGACCGAAAGCGGTAAAATACTTGTCAAAGAGCCAATACGGCACCTGATATGCGCCCACAAAGTTCAACAACATTGGCATGTCCCCTACAAACAAGAATATGAACAACATGTACCTGATAGTTTTGATATACCCGAACACTGGATGTGTATTAAAATAAATAAATAGAAAAAAAAACAAACTTTGAATTTGTTGACAAAACTTATTTTCACTTTTTTGTTTTATTACGATTAAGAGCGAAATATTCAAAATTTAAATTGTACTAAAAATGGCGACTACTTGGGATCAGCCTTTATCATCATCAGAGAGTGAACACGAAGCAACGGAGGACGAAGGTCAGACATTTGAAGAGCATCGTTATAATGAAAATATCAATAAATTAAAATCGTATGTCGATCAAATGTCATATGTGCCCGTTAAAACGCCCAAAGCAAGTCCATATACAGAAATGTTGGCAAAACCAAAGAAAACCGATGTTGTCCACACAGCGGAGGAATTTGCAAATGTTGTTGAGCCCCCAGAGCGTGGAGAACGTTTAAGATATTTGGCTAGCAAATTTCAGACAATTACAACAGAGTAAGACACACAAATTAAATAATCAAAAAGATATTAAATTAATTTTGCGATTACAGCGATTTAGAAAAGGTCATACGGCAAAATAAAATCAAAGATCTACAAAAAGAAGATATAGCAAAACGTAAACAAGAAATTTACTATGCAATGCTTACAAAACTGGAACGTCAATCCCGCCTACAATATCTAAATGTTGTGGTTAAGAAATTTGCTGATTTCATTGCCAAACTGGCCACAACAATGCGCATACCACCAACCCTGGTTGATCCCTATGCTCGTATGCAACGTGGTATATTTTGTAATATTCTATTGGCGATTGGCGTCCAACCAAATAGTCAAGCGGCAATTTATTACAACACCCCGGAGGGCAATGACTATGAAGTCTATCACCGGCTATCTCATGCCATACTCAGTTTAATAATAAAGGCCCTAGACTCAGCCTCAACACGACGTAGCACGGATGATAGTCATCCGATCAAAGTTGATTTCGATATGGATAATTACATAAGAGAGCGTTTAATGTGTGCAGCTGAAAAGAAAATACAAGCAAAAATGACAACTAACGAAAAGGGTGGAAATGAAAAATTTGCCAAATTAAAAAAGTTTGATAAATGTCAAGATGTCAGTTATAGATCATGTAAATAAAGAGGTGAATGACTTAAAGGTCGATTAAAAAAAATGATTTGCTTGTTAAAATAATGACCAATTCGAATTATGATTGAATTTCAAATGTACGAAAGAGGTTTTGTGATAAATTGTTTTGAATAAATAAATTGAATATCTCATTAACATCATGTAAAGATTTTCGAAAAGATTTCCCGTCCCTCAGGAAAAAAGGAATACACATTTTTCAATTCCTACTTTTTTATAATTTGAGTGACTGAAACTTTTAGTAAAAAGAGGGTCAGCTTTAAAAACAACGAAATACTGGTCTGTCCATATATGGGCACTTCCGCAAAAAGGTAAACCAAAGTCTAATGATTTGTTTTTTAATTGTGCTTAAATCAGTGTTCGCAAAAAAAAACGGTAGCGTTAGTGTTCCGGAACACAAACATTAAAAAATATTTTAAGGGCCCCACACACTATATATCATGCCGTCATGCCGATGAACCCCTTTGTATATGTGTGTGATTGACTAGTGTATGGCAAACTCTTTAATCATTCTTCCAAAAAAAATTATTTTTGTCTAAAAAATCAAATTTTAAATCGTAAATTCAGTTTTGTTCTATTTCGTCACAATTTTATTATTTGTATACTCAAAATTATTTATTGACAACTTTAAAAATTAATACAATTCACCAGATTGAAAGGGTTTCATTTTGTGTGTCACCTCAGGAAAAAAGGAATACACATTTTTCAATTCCTACTTTTTTATAATTTGAGTGACTGAATCAGCCAAACTTTTAGTAAAAAGAGGGTCAGCTTTAAAAACAACGAAATACTGGTCTGTCCATATATGGGCACTTCCGCAAAAAGGTAAACCAAAGTCTAATGATTTGTTTTTTAATTGTTTGTTTTAATTAATTGGATATTGGCAACACTGAAATGAATTGCTAAATTTGTGCGTTGCTCTCGGGAAAAATTATTAAACACGATTAATATACAGTTTTTATAGTAAAAAAAGCGTTGTTAATAAAGTTTTTTACGTTGCGCACTGCTGTCAATTGAAGTTTTGCTGATTAGAACATATTTTCGCTGTTTTGTTAAAAAAAACAAACAACGGCTGCACGGCTGCGCCACATAACAGAAGAAGAAGAAGTTTGCTGTTTGTTTTGATACGACATTTGTTTACATTTTGATTTGACGTAACGATGGCGCCGGCAATGAAACCAAAAATATATACTTGTCCTATCCGTCGTAAAACGATAGGAAAAGTTTACAGTGTGGGATGCTCAGATTGTCCAAATTACTTCCATCCAGTATGTATTGGTATGAGTGACAGCGAAGTCAAATCTAAGAAAGGGTTGGTGTACAAGTGTAATGCCTGCTCTAAAAAGGATACACCTTCGTGTAGTGATGCTGTTTCGACCGGTGATAACGATGTTATAAGCCATGTAACTGAAGTAGTTAATGATATGGCTACAGCGTTGAAATCTAAAATTGAACAGCAAATGCAAGCATACGTCGTCGATTTTCAAAGCGTTGTGGATGGTGTTGTTGCTTCTTTCCGTCAGGAATTTTTGGATGGTTTGCGCAAAGTTACTGACGATGTTAAGAAGTGTGAGGACAAGATTGGCTCCATATCTACGTCGCTAGATGACATTAAAGGAGAAATGGCAATATGTAGATCCACCATTTCCACTATAAATGCTCTTCAGAGAAGAATTGAGAATATGGAGATAGAGAACGGTATTCTTCAACGTCGTCTAAATCGGTCGAATGTCGTAATTAATGGATTGCCTAATGGACTTCGTAATATTAGTGACGTTGTCACTAGAATTGCATCTATATGCAATGTTTACCTTAATCCAATAGATATGCAACATTGCTGTTATTTCGCTGGTGGTACGTCCGTTTTAGTAAAATTTAATTCTGTGTTCTTAAGGGACACTATTATGGCTAACTATCGTCGGGGGCCTCCAATAAAGTTGAATGCTGTTATCGGCGGCAATCTTCAAACTAACGTCTATTTAGACGACCACCTCACACCTGCTTCTGCTAGGTTAATGTATGTTTGTAGGAAGCTTAGAAATCAAGGCAAACTAAAAAAGTTCGTACTGATTAATGGTGATGAACCTGCAGTGAATGCTGTGTTTCCTGACGGAAATGAACGAGTTCTGAGAATCGGTGATTGTGAGAGTCTTTTGTAACAAGATGCTTTCTCTTCATTATTATAACTCCCCCCCCCCCCACCGTTTACTGCTACTGTTTTTTTTTTGCATATTTAGTTATACTTGGCGATTTTCGAGTAGTTTTTATAGTTTTTCCTGGGATGAATATTTTTGAATAATTAATTTTTTTTTCTTCATTCTTGTTTTGAACTATTTTTTTCCATTTTTTATTGTTGCTTTAATAAAATTTCATCATGATCTCAGTTTTACTAGCAATTTGGTTCCCCACCATTACATTTTTGTCATATTTCAATGTTATCAAATAGTGATCTTGGTCCTATTGTTGGTAATTCGTCTTATCTTAAGAACAGATTGAGTCCATATAAAAACTATATGTCTTTCGGCCATCTAAATTGCCAGAGCCTTCGTCCGTCTAATTACAGCACCACCTTAGGCGAACTTAAAAGACTTTTGTGTAACAGTGGTCTGACTTTCTTTGCTGTTTCTGAAACTTGGTTGAAACCCTATATATCGTCGAAAGCTGTTTCTATACCCGGTTACTCTTTCGTCCGCAATGACCGTCCAAGTGTTAGAGGAGGAGGGGTGGGTATTTACGTTATAAATGGTTTTAAGCACAAGATAGTTTTTCGATCTGATAATCCTGGTGTTTGCGAGTCTATTTTTATCGAAATTATTTTAGATTCTATTTGGTGTGGTGTATTTGCCACACGGCAACATATCTAGCTTTGAGGAGACACACCAACAGATTTTATCTCAATACGAGTATATTGTTATTGCCGGCGACTTTAATTGCAACCTATTCGACATTTCCAAATCGTCTGAAATGAGGAGTATTTGCCTCCGTCTAGGTCTTTCTATTGGTCATAACTCGTTGCCTTCGCATTTGAATATCGCTACGGACTCTGTTTCCTTAATTGACTATTTTGCTCATAGCCAATCATGCTCTTTCGTTTTCAACGATCAAGTACAAGTTCCTTCTATTTCACATCATTCCTTAATCTTCGGTGCCATCGATGTTAATATTACTTCCACACAACACTTTTTTGAGCACCGTGACTACAAAAATATTGATTGGGACAGTTTACATAATTATATAGTTGAAGTTGATTTTGGTACTATTTATAGAACATCTGATGTTGATACACAGCTTTCATTTCTTGATTTCCTTATTGCGAATCTATTTTCTTTCGTCCCTATTGTTAAAAAACGTATAGTGTCTTGCATGGAACCATGGTTAAACAGTAGACCTATAATACTTTCAAGTTCATTGCGAGATATTGCCTACAGGAACTATTTAAAATATCCTACGCAGCAGAATAAGGCTGTGTATCGCACTCTTAGGAACAAAGCTAAGAGTGTTCTTAGAAATGAACGTAAGAAATATTACGTCAAATATTTTAATGGGTTAAACGCGACACAGATTTGGAGACAGCTTCGTTCCGGCGGTATCGTTGGTAGTGACACTAACTTTACAACTGATTTAGATGTTGATGTTTTAAATTCATATTTTACTGAGAACAACAGTATTAGCAATGCGTATGTAGATTTACCCGATATTGATAGACAAGAATATACTTTATCATTTAATTGTGTTTTTGAAATTGATGTTTTTAAAGCTTTTCAGCGGGTTAAGTCCCAATCTGTGGGTATAGATGGTATACCTATTAAATTTTTAAAACTGATTTACCCATACATATCTAGGCATTTGACCCACTTTTTTAACACTATGTTTACTACATCGGTCTTTCCGCAAGCGTGGAAAGTTGCTAGAGTAGTCCCCATTCCCAAAGTTAAAGAAACACCGACTATAGAAAATATGAGACCAATAAGCATTTTACCCGCACTTTCAAAAGTTGCCGAGCACCTCATATTGGAGCAAATTCAAGAATTTATTGATGAGCGGAAATATATAAATGAATACCAATATGGTTTCAGGCGTGGGCTCAGTACTACATCTCTCTTAGTAGACTTAACTGATCTTATCAGAGAGACAATTGATGGAGGTGAAAGTGGTGTTCTCGTGGCCTTGGACTTATCCAAGGCATTTGATTGTGTAGATTATTCGAGACTAATTCAAAAACTACGATCTAATTATGCTTTTGATTATACAGCTTGTAATTTAGTTCTCTCCTATTTGTCTGGGCGTTCCCAGTATGTTTCATTAAATGGCAAGACTTCTAATAAACTTAATATATACAGTGGTGTACCTCAAGGTTCAATTTTAGGTCCCCTTCTTTTTGTTTTATACGTGAATGACATTGGTAACTGTTTACATAATAGCGGATGTCGACCGTTTTTATATGCCGATGATATTCACTTATTTTTTAATGGCAAATCTAGTTCCCTATTGAAGTTTAACATTAACAATACCTTGTCCGCAGTATCGCGTTGGTTATGTAATAATAACCTAGTAATAAATGTTACAAAGACAAAAGCAATGGGATATGGTCCTTTATGTCGCCTCAATAGTATAGATATACGTGTTAATGTATTAATTATTGAGTTCGTTGATCGCATAAAGTGCTTAGGAGTTATTGTTGATAGCAAACTTGATTTTTCTGCTCATATTGATGCTCTACACCCTAGAGTAATGAATATTCTTCGAAAATTATACTCAACTGAATTCTATTTGCCACGATTTGTAAAGAGAAATCTTGCTAATTCTCTGTTAATATCGCTTATTTCTTATGGTATAGAAGTTGTATCTGGCACCACACATGAGCATTTTAACAAAATAGGAAAAATTGTTCAATATGGTTGTAAGGTACGTTTATAATTTACGTCGATCAGATCATGTTTCAGCTTATGCGGCTGAATTTCTAGGAGTACCGTTTTCTGTTTTCGTAAAGAAAAGAGTTATTTCATTTCTATATAAATCTGTCACTTTAGATCTTCCCGGTGTCCTGCGTGATCGACTTGTTTTCTCTAGATCTACCAGGAACACTCAGTTAATTTTCCCGCGCTATTCCACTTGTTTATATGAAAGATCTTTTATTATTCGTTCGTCACGTTTGTGGAATCAACTTCCTGTTGAACTACGACATTTTTCTTTTTCGCGCAGTGTATTTCAACGCAAGTTTGAAGATTTTGCTGTTAATTACATGCTGGACTAATGTATTTTTTAATTTTTTTTTAATTTTTAATGGTAGATGCGACTTTATTCAGTTCTTTTGCTTAGATATTACCAACAATAGTCTTTACTGCTTTATTTTTACATGGCTGGGGAGCCTTTTCTGCTTTGTAGTTTGTTAATTAAAATCCATATATTATGTTAGTATATGAACTGTTTAGTTTTAAAATGAATTTAAATATGCTTTGTTATGTCAGCCGGTTAACGCAATGCGCAGCGTAAACATCGCCCGCATTGTGGTCGATGCATTGATAGCCTGACGGCTACCGGTTATCGATTACCCCTTTTTTCTGCAAGGTGACATTTTCGATTGCGAATAGCCTAATCATTTGCAAAAGGGAATGAAAAAGAACGCCATTTGCATTCTGTCTTTTGTTTGAAATTCATCGAGGCGGCAATTGAGCAAGGAACAAATAATAAAAAGTGAATTGTGCAAATTATAAATTTCTAAAATAAAAGTGTGTGCTCCAACAACAATCACCATTGGTAACGGCGTCCGGGATTTTCTTTTAAAAGTATTTCACTGGGCACGTAGGCTTCGACCTAAACCAGCTCCTATTGCCCAACGCTACCATTGCCAATATCAATTTTGTTCCCCGGCACCACCACTCCAAATCAATTTAAAGTCACCACCACTCCAAATCAATTTAACGTGACCACCACTCCAACTCATTGCAAGTGACCACCACCACAGCCCACTGAAATTTACCACCACCATAACCCATTGATATTGACCACAACCCACTGAAAATTATCACCACCGAAAAACCATTAACAGTGGACATCACCATTAACCAGCATCAACCATAGACACCCTTCCAACAAACTCCAGCTTCCAGTTGCTGATTTCCTTTTTTTTGTAAGGCCTGGGTGCGCTTCCCCCATCACCACAGTAAGCATTTGGTGAACAAAATTGTATCATAATTAGTTATTCGCATTTTTCTGCCACAGGCAGGAAAATACGAATACTATTATTTCTAACATATCCATCGACGGACAGCCGATGTGAAAAACATATATTGTACATAAGTACATATGTATATATATAGTACAAATATAACGGCATAGGACCGTTACTTTAAAATCACATGTGTCTTCGTTTCATTTTTTTTTTGTTGTTTCTAAAATTCGAGTACAGTACAGTACAGCTATAAGCAACGATAGTTGTCTAAGTGAGTTGATGATTGAAATTTATTAGATAGTTTTAACTTTTTATATTATTTATTAAATCTGGTTAAATTAAATTTATTAAATAATAATAATTTCAAAATCAAATCATTTATATAATTAATTATTTTAAACTCGCTGGACGAGTGAAATTCTTTGAAGACTAATACATTAATTATTTGAATTGTAATTTATCATTAAAATAATTATTTAAATTTAAATTTATTTGATATTTCAATTATCTAATAATTAATAATTAATTACATTAACCTAATTGCCATTCATATTTCTTAATATTATATTTTCTGGAGTCTCATTATAATCGTATGTAAATGTTGATCCCTATTAAATACCAATAGCTTTCCAGTCATACCCGGTCTAGAAGGTGACCGAATATCTTACCTCTTGAGCTCAATAGGGTCGAGATTTATTTTACAAATTCTTATTTTCTTACATATTTCTTTTTGTTGAATTTATATGGGGATAAACATAAAGCCTCATAAATATTTTGTTCCTATATATAAGTATATATATTAATAGATATATATTTATATTCCTATGTAATGTTTATAAAAATCCCAATGCAAATAAAAGGGAATAATGAATTTCTGTAATGATGAAGTGAAATAGTCATGTATTAGTGATTTATTCAAAAGGTGAAATAAGGTAGGTTCAGCCAAATAAAAATGTTTTTAGGGGGTTTCCGGTAAAATAAGAAACCCGCAGGGGATTTTGAAGAAATCCGTGGGAGGGCTCAAGGTACCCATCCACCATCTGGGGTACCCACAACAACAACATCAAGCATCTGTATCGTTTTCGTGACTTCTTAATGATATTTTTTTTTGATATACTATTGTGCATGGTCTGGTGAGGACGATGAGCTAAGCCGAAGTAAAAATAAACACAATTAATGGCATACCAACAACAGCTGAGTATGACACATAGCCATAATAAACTCTCGCCGATTCCTGTTACAAAATGGCGCCCAACGTAGAAGCAAATTTTGATTTTTAGTGTCATCGGTTTGATTTTTGAGTCCTGAGGTATTATTAAATTATAATGCTCAGTTGCTTCAGAAACAAATCCATGCATGCAATTGTTATAAGATCTCCATCTTCTTATAAACTATTTTGTTCGTCTTGAACAGTTGTGTATATAACAAGGTTCAATCTTGCGACAAAATATAGTCAAGTTTCTTGTTTTTATATTTTTAAGCAATGCTAGTACATAGTCATTAGTTGCAGATTTTTATGTCAAGCTACTAATTTGCGGTATTAGATATGTTTATTTGGTATATTGATACAAACAGAATTTTATTGGTAAAATTTTTAAGATGATCTTTACAGATGTTTGATGGTTACAAAGTTGTTGTTTCTTTTATTTGGCTGAAACCTAACCTATATTCATATTTCACCTTATCATTACATATATATTATACTTTTTTTTGAACAATATTTTTATGATTTCTTTTTGCGGAATTTCAGTGAACATTTTGGAAGATTTTATATCTGGTTCATATCGTTTTGTTTTTGGATATTTTTTGTATGGTATTTTATGTTAATTATTGTTGATGGTTAACAGATTTCTAAATTTTACAGATTCTAATTTAGATTACGGCAAAGACAATTATTCTACATTTACATTATAAATTATATTTGGCATTCAGCTTGATTTTCATGTTTTTTTTTATATTGATTTATTTTTCTGGTTTTTTTTTTAATGGTATTTCTGGTATTGCAATTTTGTTTTTGAATTTTATTGATTATGCCACTTCCACCTAAAACGCAAGGCAGGACAACTAGGTCCAACAGTAGGGCAACCGGAGAGATGGAATTAAATACGGAGTCATCTACCAGTCATGCCGCAGGCATACTTCCAGTTACTCAGCCTGATGTAGATGGTGAGGAAACTGTGATACAGTCAACCCCTGTCACGGGAGACGAAAATTCTATCAGTCAGCCTTCCTATAGTCCATTGACAATCCGCGGCAATAGTGTGAATGAACCGCAAGGTCGATTAAGTAGTCCAGGAATAGTTGAGGTAGTTGAGTCAGCTTTAGGTGCGACCAGGGAGTCGATGATTGAGGTTATGCGCAGCGAAATGCAGCAGGCAGTTGCACAGGCGGTTAAGACAGCGTTATCTCAGACATTTTTATCTCAGGAAAAGTCGAATTCTCCTTCTAGAAACATAGATTGGCCACACGAATTTCCAACTTTCAACAGGAATTCCAATCAGAATCGCCGAGAAGATGATCAAGGTAGATTTAACCACAATTATATGCCATCATATGAGAATCGAGATTATTTCAGTAAACCCAAGTATCCGTACATTAGTAAATGGGGAATCCGTTTTGATGCCACGTCTAAAACTCCGCAAGTGGAGGATTTTATTTTTAGAGTGGAGAAACTCCAGAGAAGTTATGGTTGTTCGGATCAAGATCTTTTAGATGGTTTTCATCATTTGTTGGAAGGACGTGCAAATCAGTGGTACTGGGCACAAATCAGATTGCATCCGAATATGAACCTGGCGAATTTAAAACTTTCTATTATACGTGAATTTCAGAAATATCAGTCCAATTTAGACGTGTTGAGGCAGATCATGGATCGTAAGCAAGGTCGGGAGGAATCTGCAAGCCAATATATTGATGCCATAACTAGTTTGAGGTCTCAGTTGAGCAATCCGTTGAAAGATTACGAGGTCATTGATATTATTAAAGCTGGTCTGAAACCCAGATTAGCTCATTTAATCTTTAGTGCAGGTGCTTATTCAGTTGAGGGATTACGTAGCGAGTGCAGGAAAGCCGAAGAATTTCTGGATAGGGAATCTTTTCAGCGATCTAGAAGCAACTTTTCTCCTCGAGTAGTAAACGAACTTTTTGATTCCGAAGTAGATGATTTGGTTGAAGAAGTTGACGAATTGAGGTTGCGACATAAGCCAATTGGTGTTTCAAAGAACGATACTGGACATTGTTGGAACTGTGGTAAAAACGGTCACGGGTTCAAGCAATGCACCAGTTCTCAACGTTCATTATTTTGTTTTCGCTGTGGTGCACCTGGTGTTACTGCTCCTCAGTGTAGTCAATGCAAGCAAGGCAGTCGTTCGAAAATTGAATCCAAATCTGAGTCTGTTTCTACTCAAACAGTAGATTGACTATCTGTAAATGATAAGTCTACTTATACTGATCCTTTTGTTGTTGACCCGAATTTTGTTATAACCAAGCCATCTGAACACTCTGCAAAAACAAAACCTGACATAACTCAGCCTTTTCATATTCGAATGGCAAACTATTTGAAAGTTCGTGAGCGTATTTTCAACTCCGAAGTTTCCGTAAAACCCATTTTTATTTCCAAACGTATTTTGAAAGCTCGAGAGCGGTATCGTATCCGTCGTTTAAAACGAATTTCTATTTCATCGGCAAAATTTTCTGAATCGGGATTTAACGATCCTCGTCCATTTCGAGAAGTTCTAGTTAATGGAGAGCCTGTTTTGGCATTATTTGATAGTGGAGCAACAGTGACCTGCTTAGGCAAAAATTGTATTTCTTTAATTGAAAAATTGAATCTTAAGATTATTCCTGTTTTCAAGTGTAGTGTAGGTACTGCTAATGGACAGCGTGTTACTTGTGTCGGAAAAGTTAGGGTAGACCTCACCTTCGATGATATGACGAAGGCCATGGAAGTGTATGTTATCCCGGGTCTCGAAAACTCTATGTATTGCGGTGTCGATTTCTGGAAAGCATTTAATATTGCTCCGAAGCTTATAAGCAGTTTAGAGATCAGTCCAAAAGTTGATGATTCCGATTTACATGTTCTTAATGATGATCAGATAGCTCTGCTCGAGAAGAGTAAAGAAAGTTTTCGTGATTTTGACAAATATGGTTTGGGGAAAACTCATTTAGAGGAACACGTCATCGATACTGGTGATGCCGTTCCAGTTAAACAACGTCACTATCCCGTTTCTCCAGCAGTGGAATCGTTAATTTATCAGGAACTTGATCGCATGCTTAGTTTGGGAGTTATCGAGCCGAGTAATTCACCATGGAATTCACCAGTTACTCTTGTGCGTCGTGGGGAGAAGAATAGGTTATGTCTGGATGCACGCAAGTTGAATGAGGTCACCATCAAGGATGCATATCCATTACCTTTTGTTGATGCATTGCTAGGTCGTTTGCAAGACACATATTTCATTTCAAGCATAGATTTGAAAGATGCCTTCTGGCAGGTACCTCTGGCAGCTGACAGCCGTCCGAAGACTGCGTTCACAGTACCGGGGAGACCACATTATCAATTCACTGTCATGCCGTTCGGGTTGTGTAATGCAGCTCAGCGGTTATGTCGGTTGATGGATAAAGTGATCTCACCGGAACTGCGGAACAAGGTTTTCGTATACCTTGACGATCTTTTAGTGGTTTCGCCAGATTTTGAGACTCATGTCGATCTGTTGCGCAAGGTAGGAGAGATGTTGTCCAGAGCAAACCTGACCATCAATTTGAAGAAATCGAAATTTTGTCGTCGAGAGTTGCGGTATCTAGGATACATTGTCGGTGAGGGGAAACTCAAGCCAGATCCTTCAAAAATAAACAGCATTACAGACATTCCGATTCCTAAGAACACACGCGATGTTCGCAGATTTTTAGGAATGGCCTCTTGGTTCAGGCGTTTCATTCGAAACTATGCCGAAATTACAGCTCCTCTCACAAGCACGTTGAAGAAAGGTAAATCTTTTTGTTTTCATGATCAGGCCATCGATGCTTTTAACAAGTTGAAAGTAGCTTTGACTACAAGTCCTGTACTGAACCATCCTGTTTTTGATAAAAGATTTTATGTCCAATGTGACGCCTCTAATTTGGGTCTTGGTGCAGTCTTGTTTCAACTGGACGCTGAAGGTCTGGAACGTCCCATCGCATTTCATTCCGCTCAGTTGTCCAAGGCAGAACGGAATTACAGTGTAACAGAGCGCGAGTGCTTAGCTGTCATCAGTGCTATCAAGAAGTTCCGTCCTTTTATTGAACTTATGCCTTTCACTGTAATTACCGATCACAGCGCTTTGAAATGGTTGATGGGACAGAAGGATCTCAGCGGTCGATTGGCAAGATGGAGTCTAAAGCTCCAAGCTTTTAATTTTGATATCCAGCACCGCAAAGGATCACAAAATGTAGTCGCGGACACATTATCCCGTTTGCACATGGACGAAATCAACATGTTTATCGATGAAAAACCTTTAATTGATTTGGAATCTCCCGAATTTAAAAGTGATGAATATTCACAGATAGTTAGCATGGTGCTCGAGAATCAAGATAGTTTACCCGATTTTAAAGTTTGCGATTCGTTTGTTTATAAAAAGACACTTCCGTCTGATGGCACTTCAGTCCACGAAAATTTCATTTGGAAACTCTGGGTTCCAAGTAGCTTAACCGAATCACTTATTGAGAACACACACAAATCTTCTAGTCACTGTGGTATAGGTCGAACGATCGCGGCACTTCGACAGTATTTTTATTGGCCTAAAATGGCAAAGCAAGTTCGGGACTTTATCAATGGTTGTATCGTCTGCAAGGAGACAAAAGCTACAAATAAAATTTTAAGAGCCAAGATGGGAAATGAAACCGTCACACATAGACCATGGCAAAAGATTTTTATAGACTTTATTGGACCGTTTCCGAGATCGAGGTTAGGTAACGCATTTATACTTATCGTTTTAGATCACTTGACGAAGTTTGTTCTTTTGAAACCACTAGCTAAGGCAAATTCGAAAAATGTTATTAAATTTCTAGAATCCGAAGTATTTCACAAGTTTGGTGTACCACAATTAGTCCATTCGGACAATGGAAAACAATTTATCTCGACTGAATTCACTTCATTTTTACAAAAGTATGGTTGTAAGCAGATTCGTAACGCGGTGTACTCTCCACAAGCGAATGCATCCGAGAGGGTCAATCGGACCATTATCGCAGCGATTCGATCTTACGTTTCGGAGGATCAAAAGGATTGGGATAGATATTTATCCTCAATCGAATGTTCATTAAGATCCACGCTTCACACTTCGACCGGCTTCACACCATATTTTTCACTTTTTGGCACACACATGATCACACATGCGAGTGAATACGATTTGGCACACAAACTTGGGATTCTAGAGGACGGCACGGTAGATATTGTTCCGAAACACGATATTTTGCACTTAGTCCGAGATACGATCAAAAGTAAATTGCACGATTCGTTCGAAAAATCGGCAGCACGTTACAACACTCGATCTCGCGAAGTTAATTACAAACCGGGACAGGAAATACTGAGGAGGAACTTTGTTTTGAGTGACGCTTCCCGCCATCTTAATTCAAAACTATGTCGAAAATTTGTCAAATGCAGAGTTGTTCGGAAAGTAGGGAACTCACTTTACGAAATTGAGGATTTGAACGGTAGGACGATAGGGGTCTATCATTCGAAAGACCTGCAGCATATGGTACCAAACAAGTAGTCGCAGGGCTATTTCAGTCGGTAGAATTCTTAATCTCAGGGTCGCAGTTCTCCCCCATTTTTTTTTCTTTTTTACACATCACGGTTGACTTCCCGAATCAGTTAGACTTCGGCTGGCCTGCGTCAACATGTTCGGGTTTGTTATGTCAGCCGGTTAACGCAATGCGCAGCGTAAACATCGCCCGCATTGTGGTCGATGCATTGATAGCCTGACGGCTACCGGTTATCGATTACCCCTTTTTTCTGCAAGGTGACATTTTCGATTGCGAATAGCCTAATCATTTGCAAAAGGGAATGAAAAAGAACGCCATTTGCATTCTGTCTTTTGTTTGAAATTCATCGAGGCGGCAATTGAGCAAGGAACAAATAATAAAAAGTGAATTGTGCAAATTATAAATTTCTAAAATAAAAGTGTGTGCTCCAACAACAATCACCATTGGTAACGGCGTCCGGGATTTTCTTTTAAAAGTATTTCACTGGGCACGTAGGCTTCGACCTAAACCAGCTCCTATTGCCCAACGCTACCATTGCCAATATCAATTTTGTTCCCCGGCACCACCACTCCAAATCAATTTAAAGTCACCACCACTCCAAATCAATTTAACGTGACCACCACTCCAACTCATTGCAAGTGACCACCACCACAGCCCACTGAAATTTACCACCACCATAACCCATTGATATTGACCACAACCCACTGAAAATTATCACCACCGAAAAACCATTAACAGTGGACATCACCATTAACCAGCATCAACCATAGACACCCTTCCAACAAACTCCAGCTTCCAGTTGCTGATTTCCTTTTTTTTGTAAGGCCTGGGTGCGCTTCCCCCATCACCACAGTAAGCATTTGGTGAACAAAATTGTATCATAATTAGTTATTCGCATTTTTCTGCCACAGGCAGGAAAATACGAATACTATTATTTCTAACATATCCATCGACGGACAGCCGATGTGAAAAACATATATTGTACATAAGTACATATGTATATATATAGTACAAATATAACGGCATAGGACCGTTACTTTAAAATCACATGTGTCTTCGTTTCATTTTTTTTTTTGTTGTTTCTAAAATTCGAGTACAGTACAGTACAGCTATAAGCAACGATAGTTGTCTAAGTGAGTTGATGATTGAAATTTATTAGATAGTTTTAACTTTTTATATTATTTATTAAATCTGGTTAAATTAAATTTATTAAATAATAATAATTTCAAAATCAAATCATTTATATAATTAATTATTTTAAACTCGCTGGACGAGTGAAATTCTTTGAAGACTAATACATTAATTATTTGAATTGTAATTTATCATTAAAATAATTATTTAAATTTAAATTTATTTGATATTTCAATTATCTAATAATTAATAATTAATTACATTAACCTAATTGCCATTCATATTTCTTAATATTATATTTTCTGGAGTCTCATTATAATCGTATGTAAATGTTGATCCCTATTAAATACCAATAGCTTTCCAGTCATACCCGGTCTAGAAGGTGACCGAATATCTTACCTCTTGAGCTCAATAGGGTCGAGATTTATTTTACAAATTCTTATTTTCTTACATATTTCTTTTTGTTGAATTTATATGGGGATAAACATAAAGCCTCATAAATATTTTGTTCCTATATATAAGTATATATATTAATAGATATATATTTATATTCCTATGTAATGTTTATAAAAATCCCAATGCAAATAAAAGGGAATAATGAATTTCTGTAATGATGAAGTGAAATAGTCATGTATTAGTGATTTATTCAAAAGGTGAAATAAGGTAGGTTCAGCCAAATAAAAATGTTTTTAGGGGGTTTCCGGTAAAATAAGAAACCCGCAGGGGATTTTGAAGAAATCCGTGGGAGGGCTCAAGGTACCCATCCACCATCTGGGGTACCCACAACAACAACATCAAGCATCTGTATCGTTTTCGTGACTTCTTAATGATATTTTTTTTTGATATACTATTGTGCATGGTCTGGTGAGGACGATGAGCTAAGCCGAAGTAAAAATAAACACAATTAATGGCATACCAACAACAGCTGAGTATGACACATAGCCATAATAAACTCTCGCCGATTCCTGTTACAGCTTTAAAGTTTGTTACTTAGAATTCATAATTTATATTAAGATATATACTGTATAGCTATAATGTGAAGTACACTTTAGTAGTTTTGGCATGTTGCGATATTTATTGGCCAGATGGCTTTTTCGTGGCAATAAAATAAATAAAAATAAAAAAAATAAAAAAAAATTGTGCTTAAATCAGTGTTCGCAAAAAAACGGTAGCGTTAGTGTTCCGGAACACAAACATTAAAAAATATTTTAAGGGCCCCACACACTATATATCATGCCGTCATGCCGATGAACCCCTTTGTATATGTGTGTGATTGACTAGTGTGTGGCAAACTCTTCAATCATTCTTCCAAAAAAAATTATTTTTGTCTAAAAAATCAAATTTTAAATCGTAAATTCAGTTTTGTTCTATTTCGTCACAATTTTATTATTTGTATACTCAAAATTATTTATTGACAACTTTAAAAATTAATACAATTCACCAGATTGAAAGGGTTTCATTTTGTGTGTCACACATACATAAATAAACATTCAAAAAATTACCTTACTATGATGAATGCTGTACGGCATGATGTACTGCTCCGGAGCACAACGAAATTCGTAGTGTACCGCAGTCGGAGCACTAAAAATCGTAGTGTAAACGCTAAAAATAATTTTTGTGTTTGTATTATTTTAGTGTACCTACCCACCTTGGTACAGTACACAAAACTATGGATCGGTACCATAATGTTTATTTTCGAACGCTGGCTTAAATACGTAAAGGCAAAAATACAAAGAAAGGCCACATTTGTCATTTTTTCTTCTTGTTCTTAGCATAAATACTAATTTAATGACTATAAATCCAGACACTGACGAAAAAAAAACAGCAAAATCAAAAATGTCGCGTGAATGACCGAGAAAAATCTTTCGCAAATAAAGTATATGCCAAATTGTGTGTCTTCCTGAAATAAATTGTAGAACACAAACAGCTTTACTGAGGATATTTGTTTTGTACTCATAGTTTCGTATTCCAACAAAGGAAATTTATTGATCTAATCTAGGGTGTTACTCTGTATTGCGTTGCGAAATCAAGTGCGAAGCGAAAGCTAAATGCGTTAAGAATGCAGTTTGGTATTCTGTATAACTAGAAAAAAAGGAAACATCAAAAAATTTAAAGAAAAAAAAAACATGTTATTATGCGGTACGAGTTTTTTCAATAATTATGGATGGCGATATGGGAACGAATTAAAAAAAAAGAATTTTAAGAGATCGATCAAATTTATATATAAATAAAGACCAAACCTGTAAATATGCACACATAGTTAGTTTCAAATTTTATATAAAAAATATAATACGTACATACTTTTTTCCAACCTGCGACATCTCTTACAGGGGGTCCATTTGAATTGAGATAATCAGCCAGTTTTGTCCACAAATTGTTGGCGCGTTGTTTCGCATTTGAACTTCGCCAAATAGCCGTGTTGCACCATAAAATCTACTTAAGTTTGGAACTGGCATTGCTGAACTTTTTTGGCTTTTCCCTGAAATAATTAACAATTTAGATATAAATTAAACCTTTAATTGTGCTTACTTACTTGCAAATACTAAGCTCTGAAAGGCTACAGCTTATACTGGCTGCATCTAGAGTAAGTTTAGAAACAGTGAGTAGAGTCCATTGCGTATAAAAACAAGTATCGCAAGTATCGACAATCCTTAAAACTCCCACCAGTGCTTTAACCCATATATGTGTAGATTATACAAGTTTATTTTAAAATATAATTTATTATAAATAGTTATGTATTAAAATGTCGCATGTTGCACTCTATAAAATAACATAAAAACTAAGAAAAAAACCGTATAACGAATTCATTAAGAAACAGATAATGATCATTTTAATTTTTAATGATGAGATACAATTGTGTTAATTAATTTTAAATGCTCTCCATTTAGAATGATCTGCCTACTGATCTAGTGCTCGATTAAAATCATTCACCATTTTTATAACATATTTTTCCTTTTCGACAATTTCCTCCTTCAACGATGCTCGTAGATTTTGTAAATTCGGCATTGAATTACAATCACGTATGTTAAGTAAAGTTTTAAAAATGTCATCCCACAAATTTCTATTGAAATAACGCGGTACATGGGTCTTATGCATCCAAATTCCATTCGGCTTTTTCTCAACCTCCATATATTTGCCGAATAGTAAAACATGTATAACGCCGGCCAATCCATACAAATCCAATTGATAGGTCCATGGACGATTTTCACGCATTTCAATACACTTGAAACTATTATCGTTGTGTATAAACGAAAATGTTTGACCTTTTTCAAAACGTTTCATATCGATTGATACACCGAAATCTATTAATTGTATACAGCGTTGTTTGGACGGGTATTGTAATCTGAAAGATAGAGAGAAATTTGCCCATAAATAGAAATTAATTAGCTTATTTCAATCAATCTATGTATATATATATATATATTACTTGTTCATTAGCAGAAAATTATCTGCTTTGATGTCAGCATGTATAATATTCACGGCATGTAAATGATCAATGATTTCCAACAGTTCATTGGCCATCAACATTACCACATATTCATCAACGTTTTTCATGGTGTGTTTCTTGATTTTATTGCAAACCGTTATCAACGATCCATACGGTGAGAATTGTGATATAAGTATACTGGAGTTATTACCAATTAATGCATAGTCTATGTTCATATAAGCTGGTAGCTGTTGTGAAAATTAAAAATATATAGTGTAATTCTTAAATGAATATTTTGAACAGTTGGATATTTTACCATTTCATCGACCAATATACGATCATGTATTTCTAGGCATATATAAAATTCCCATAAATTAGCTGGATTTTCCTGTTTCATTGCAACACGTCTACCACCGATTGTTTCTTTGCCACTAAAGAAAATGAAAATAAAAAAGTATATTTTAATATATGGATTTTTAAGGTTCTTACAACATTTAATCACAAGTTCAACTTATAAAACGACAAGGATTAAACAATTTTGCTATAGAATAATTTTGGTGGCCGTTGACATCATTTATTTACTTACCAAAATACCGCTCCATATGCACCTTCACCTATCAATTTGACAACTTCAAATTCAACACTGTTGATCTTGATTTTCGACGAAGGCTTCAAACGATGTATACTACGCACCATCATACAATGCGTCAATTCTTGTATATAGGTCGAGAAGTGTATCTGCTCCAGAAATGCATTGATTAAGTCCACTTTAAATGGATTAACATTCGGGTCTATGCATATATTTTTGATGATTTGTTGTGTTTGATTTAAATCGACTTCGGCGTGCATATAACGATTATTGGTGGGTGTTTTAAAGGCATCATCTTCTTCGGGCACTTCCCAAAGATGGACTTGAGCTTTGGGCGTTTTCGGTGTATGCTTATAGTAAATACTCATTTCACCATAATCATCTTCGTCGTTTTCATTCGGCTCTTCGTCTAGTTTTCGGGAGGCAGTTAAATTTGAATACTGCTGTTTTTGTTGCTTTTGTTTTTGTGCTTGTATGGCATCCCATTCTGACTGACTGATATCGATACTAAAACGCGATGTTCCCACAGCCGATCCCATCGCATTTTTGCCGGTGTTATCTAAGAAACTTAATTTCGGTTTAGGCAAGTCCATCATGCTCGATTGTTTGGCAGACGGAGGTGGCATTTCTATCTGTGTCATCTTGCCCTTAGAAATATCCATTACTAATGTTCGTGCATTTGATTTGGACAATGTATCCGATGATGATGATGATGGTGGTGATAACTCCTCGGCCTTTATGTGTATGGAATTTTCTTGAATTTGTGACAAATTCTTGCATGCCATTAGACCATGATTGGGCAGCATTGTTGAATTTTTAATCATACTAATGTTGGTGCCGAACATTTCGGTCTCAGCATTCAATTCGAAAAATTTATCATTTCCCGTAGATTTCTTATTTTCCATTGAAGATGTTTTACTGGGGTTTGAGCCCAAGAAGCTTAATTTGCCAGTCGAAGTAGACTGTGCCAGTGGTTTCGATGACCGATTCATGGTTTCATTTGTGGTCTTATGACTTATTGTCTCTTCCAATAGTTTCAAGGTCGAATTATTTTTACTGGGCTGTATGAGGGTCATTTCTTTTACGTCCATTGGTATGGGTGGTGGTTCTTTGATTTCAGAGAAATCTTTCATAAATGTATCGGTTAGAATATTTCGCATGGATGCCGGTTGACCTTCTCCAGAATTTGTTAAAAGCTGTGGCTCGCCGCTTGCCATGTTATAACCAGACACATATGACGATTTCATGGAATTTTGTTGTTTCTTTCGGAGGGAAGCATTTTCACTGGGTTGTGAATCGGGTACCATAGACTCATCGGCAAAATTAGGCAAGAACGATTGCATTGCTGACTTTTGTTTTAATCGACTGCTTGAAGTCGAAGTTTGCATAGGCTGAGAATCTGGAATTATAGAATCATGTCCTTGTTGTTGTGTTTCAGGGATATGTGAAAAATCAGGAAGAAATGAATCATTTGATACTTTTTGTTTATTGCTGGGTATTTGCGGGGCCTTTGGTGGTGGCTGACTATCTTCAATGAGTGAAAAGTCTGGAATGAATGTATCTCTTAGCACTGATTTGGGTTTAACAGCTTTCGCTGGCGGCTTTGCTGGCTGTGAGGACTCGTCAGCCATACTGAAGTCGGGTATAAATGAATCTCGTAAAACACTTTTGCTTGGTTTCGACTCTTTAAATAGACCCGTGGGTTTGGACTTTGATGTTTTTAGATCCGGAGTATCAACATCACAAACACGTTTTGGATTCTGTGCTACTGGGGTCATGCTTTCGGCTGCCATGCGTAACTGCGCCCCCACAGGCTTTTCGACTTTTTTGGCCAGCGGACCCCCTTTGGATGCTTTGGGGGGTGATTGGGTGAAGAACTCAAAGAAATTATCTTGGCTTTTGGATGCAGCCATACTGTTGTCTTTCATTGATAATTTTGGCAACAGTTCTTCTTCAGCCAATTTGGTGGGCGGTGGTGGAGCCAACATAAATTTGGTTATGGTTTCAGTTTTATCTTCTTCAAATCTAACCGGGGGAGGAGGAGCCATTAACATCTTCGATATAGTTTCGGTTTTGTCTTCTTGGAATTTTATAGGTTGCGGTGGGGCGAATAACATTTTTGAAATAGTTTCAGTTTTATCTTCTTGAAATTTCACAGGTTGTGTTGGGGCTAATAACATTTTAGATATAGTTTCAGTTTTGTCTTCCTGAAAACGAATCGGTTTTACAGCATAACCGGCCTCGGTATCTTCTCGTTCGTCCAGACGAGAAAAATCTCCCACATTTTGTTTCTTACTATTGCCGGCCATGCTATCCTCAAATATGGAAAAGTTCAACGGACCCATTCCACGTCCAATTTTGGCTGTAGGTTCATGTCTTGCAATTCCGGGTGCTGGTAATGTTGTCGGCTGTGTTTTTTCGTGACTGACCGGCCTCTTTTCTTCCGAATTTTTATCAGTGGCAGAATCTTCAAAAATGGAAAATTCCATTGCACGACCACGTTTTGGTTGCTGACTTTCAGGTTTGTTCGTGGAATCAGAAGAGCTCGGTTCTTGAGGAGGAGTGGGTGTAATCGAATCCTCTATGGTTCTTTCTTTGACAGTATCGAGTGTTGGCTGATGTTGGGTATTGGCCATCATTGCTTGTGCATTTGATTCCTGATCCAATTCCGGTGAACTAATAGTTGATTTTGTGGTAGCTCCTGTGGTGTGGGTACTTTGTGTTGTGCCATGTTCTGATGTTTCCAAAATCGTGGACAATTGTTTGCGTTGTGGGGAGAAAAGTGCAGCAGGGGCTGGTGAGTTTTCATCATTTATTACATCCGCATTGATATGTTTTTGATCTTCTTCATTGGGGATCGGCGGAGGAACAACGACCGTGGTTGAGGGCGCTGCCGACTGTTTTAGAACATTACCAAAAATTCTCTGAGGTTCTGGTTTCATCTTAGGAGTGCTTACACTTTGAGCTTTAAGAAATATATTGAATGTTTGTGTGGAACAAGTTTCATCGGCATCAAAGAATCCCCCTGTGCCACAACCCATTTCTGGCGATTTACGTGCAGTTGCTGCAGAATTGTCTTCGAAAATTTCAAATGGTAATTTATTTGATTTGGTTTGAATTGATGGAGGAGCTGCTGTGGCTGTCGTGGGTGGTAACGGCGCTTTAAACTGAAAGCCATCTGATGCTTCTGCTTCCAATGCCAAAGATTTAGGTGCTGAACTAATAAAACTTGATTCTTCCTGATAAATTTCAAAGCGCTCCTTAGGTTTTGTGGCAACTGCTTCTGTCTTTGCCACTGAGTTGCCATCAGCTACGTTGAAGGACAACTTAGGAGACTCAGGTCGTTTAACTGAATCATCCAATACACATATGGTTGGTATAGAGGGTTTTTGAGCAGTATCTTTAGAAGATTTCGGTTCATTTGCAACCCCTTGGACAAATTTGAGTAATTCTGGTTCCACCGGCAATTCTTTTGAAGGTTCTTGGTGACCCTGAATTTTGGAGAAAATCTTAGGTAATTCAGGTTTTGAAACCAATTCGTTGGCTGGAGGTTCTTGGTTTTTATTTGGTACCTTAGAGAGGATTTTAGGAAATTGAATCTCTCCACGATTTTCGAAAATTGGCTTACATTTTGAGGTACTCTGATTATTTGCATCGTCTTCATCTTCTTCGGTTACCGTACTTGGCATTATAGAATATTTTCTTCCTCCAACTCCGCCCCTATTAGCACACGGGGCAATTGATTTTCGCATAGGGAAAAAACTTTTACGTCTTTGTATTTTTTCACTGGTAGCACAAATGGTTTCTTCCATATCTGCTGTTTGTATAATAGTCTCATTAGGTTTAAGTCTTTGAGCTAGAATTTCCTCGAATGAACGTTCGACCTTTTCTTCGACATTGTAGATTTCCTTGTACAGCACTACCATTCCAGCGGGTTGAGGCGGTGCAAAAAACTCATCTAAAACAGTGGGTTCTTGAGGTTTAGATTGTTTTGCAAAATGAGGGAAATGCCGTATGTTATAGAGAGCCCCGTTGCCCCAGTACTTTTCTCGTTTGGTCACAAAGTTATTTTCAATTTCGCGTTTCTTGAAGAAGTTATACGCTCTCAATTCTTCTGGTTGAAATTCAACATTGGGACGAGGATATAATTTGCATTTATTATACACTGGTAGAACATTCTTGTCGGGACGTTCTTCCGTTGTCACTGGAACAATCCAATCTGGATTAGGTCTACTTCGGGCCGAAAAGTTATGTGGCAGTTTCATTGGTTTATCATATTTGGAGTCTTCGTGTGAAATTTTTATGGGCAACAATTGAGTGTCTTCATCTTTGTTTGTTCCATCATCTTCGTGTATTTCAAAGCCCAGTTCATTTGTGGTGACTTTTTTGGAAAACAATTTACCCTTGGCGTGTGGTTTATTCCAGGGACCAGGTTCTTTGAGATTTTCCTGCTCCCGTTGGGCATCAATAATAGATCGTATAACAGATTTGCCATCATCTTTCGTTGTGGTATTACCAGCTTTTTCGTTGGATTGCTCTGTGACTACTAAGTTAGGTGTTGTGTTTTCGTCCTTGAAGACTTGCACACGAACATTGACACGATCTTGAGACGTTGTCCCATCAGTCTAAAAATACAATTTGAAAGGGCAATATGTTTAAAAAATTTATGTATATGTTTTATAATTCTCTCTTATTATAGACCTTCACCTACCCTAATTGTTCCCGGTGCATTACTTTTAACTGCAGCTCCAGTTCGTATACTCCCAACCATTTGTCTACGACGATGTCCTCTCAATGATGACAAGGCTTGACGACGTTCTTGTATCTGACGATTCGTTTCCTCCTGAACATTATCATCATCCTTGTACATCAGACGCTGGGCGACAGTAAATCCAAAATGCTGATGTGCTTCTTGTAGCTCCTCTAATGGCTGGGCACGACAAGCAATTCCACGACGAAAAATTTCATCCGCTTTTCGTGTATTATTAACTAAATCATAACAGTATGCCCAAGCTATGTAGAAATCCGAAACCATTGTACCAATGCCGGCATTAAATAATTGTTGATAGCACTCAGCTGGGTCCTTGTGGCTATCAATCTGCAAGTGGCAATTAAATGGAATTGAATGGAAAACAATACACAAAGACATATATATAGGTACTTACATATTTAATGTACAATTTAATCATACGACGATCTTGATAATATTTTTCTTCACTTTCAAACCGAGATAGACATTTGGCTAATACCTCTTGCAATCCGGATTCTTTGCCACCCGATGGAAAACTTTGTTCAATCCATTCTATGTAGTTGAACCACACACTGAGCGGATCTTCACCCGTGTAATTATGTATCTCCCTTTCTAGTTCTTTTCTTTGGGCCATTAACTCCTGGGCAGATTCCACTTTAAGGGATGCCTGCAATATACTTGCATTTCGGCCTTGTGCCAAGGGTTGTATATTTTCCTTAGCCTCATCGAAATCCATGATTCTTTCCTTTGTTGCTTATTGTATGATTCAAAGTAAATTACTGTGTTAACAATCCAAAAATTGGAACAACCTAAGGGTATGGAAATTTAATAATTTCTTCCCTTGTTGAGTTGCAAATGTTAAATTAAATTCCAAAAGTGTTTTGTATCTAAAAGAAATACAAAATACAAATAAAGCGTCAAGTTTTATTGCGTTATTGAAAATGTATACGGCGGTCAATGACTGTGTTGGAATCTTCACAGATTTGATTTCAGCAATTAAATTCACAAATATATATTTCTTGAATCTTTATATAAATAAGAAAGTAAATGGAGTCGCCACTCTCTTTAGGAAGACACAAATGATGGCGATCCACAGGCAGTAACAATATATGGTCTGTTTCCGTACCGCAAGAATCTACAATATTTTACTATTTTCTTCGATATCATAAAGGAAAATTCGTTATCGTAGTAAAAAGTAGTAGATTCTTGCAGTACAGGGACAGACCAATAATTAGCCAGCCAATCGTATGGTGTTCAAGTATATATATTTTATATATTTCACTTTACTCTCAAAACTTAATTTTCCCTTTCCCATACAAATGGAAACACTACATCCAATTTTTTGAATATTTGCTTTCTCTGAACTATATAATGCTCATATTAGCAATTTACCTTATTGATAATAAATAAAATGAAAATCATACACAACAATGAAAACAATGCAAAAATGCGGCGGCTAAATTCAAATTATGACAGCGACTGAAGAAAAATTGAAAAACGTTCCACCTGCTAACGAATGGGAGGAGAAGACAAAACGGCCGATAAAGATTAATTCAAAATGGTATAACCGAAAGTTTACGAATGAGGTGGGATGGAGACTAAATGGATACCGACTAATCGACTTTTTTTTTTTTGAAAAGTCTAATGCCATGTACAGACGAGCGTTGTTCGCTCTCTCATTCGTTGTTCGACCCTTAAATATGAAGTAATTACTTATGCGGTGTACACACTAGCATTTTTGAATGGCACTCTTGCCCAAATTTTGCTTGTTTGATAGTGTGGCCTCACATGTTTGTCATTCATCAGGCAACCACAAAAATATTTATGGTTGTTGGATAGTCAGTAATCGATAAAAAAGTTGACAGTCAAAAATGATAGTGTGTACACCGCTTTAGTTCCCCATACAAAATACAAAATTGTCTGAGCGAACACCGACTTTTGTACGTCGTTCAATTCGAATCACTCTCTAAATCACCAAGAATTTTGTCCCATCCCTAACAATTGAGAGCATTTATCGAAAATAAATTAATTTTGACAGCTTGAAAATATTTATAAAATTTTCAAATTTTTTAGTAAAGTTGAAAATGATGAATGAAAAGTAAAGAAAGTATAAAATGAAAATCATACACAACAATGAAAACAAACAATGCAAAAAGTAAATTCAAAAACTGAAGAAAAATTGAAAAACGTTCCACCTACTAACGAATGGGAGGAGAAGACAAAACGGCCGATAAAGATTAATTCAAAATGGTATAACCGAAAGTTTAGTTCTGATTTATATTAGGCGAGTTTACTTGCGGCAATAAATAATATATTGTCTATACAAGGTTTTCGAAAATATTTCTTTTTTCATTTGATGTCAATAGTTTTTTCACGTTTAAATAAATATAAAATGTCAACAAATACGAAATACACAAAACGAATTTCCACAAAATTGTCAATTTTTTTCACATATGTATATGTAAATAAAAAATTGGAGAATTTTTGTTTGAACAACGTAGTTCGCACTCAGAATTACGTACATGAATTAACCTGTTCATACAACACTATTCTTAATTCATATCATTAGAGTTTTTTTATTTCAAACTTTTTGTTTCTTGTTTTACACCAAAATTGTAACATATTTTCTTTGCTTGAATCACATATGGATCTAAATAGAAAAAATAATTCTCTTTCTCCCGACTGTGGTATGAACCTATATCTATTTACTTTTAATTCATGTTTTCAATTTTTTGTGAAAATATTGTTGCTATAAATAAATTTTAATATTTTCTCAATTCAAATGTCACATATAAAATAATTAGAGAAATTTTGTTTGGGTTTCCCCACATGTGTTTCTCGTTTTGTACGCTAATTAGAACAAAGGGGAAAGAAATGCATATTACATTATGTAGAAAACAAAATTTACTTCCTGCTGCATATATATAAACTATACAATTTTTTACTTTTCATTCATCATTTTCAATTTTACTGAAAAAGTGTGAAAATTCCATAAATATTTTCAAACTTTCAAATTAATTTATTTTCGATAAATACTCTCAATTGTTAGGGAAGGGACAAAATTCTTTGTCATTCAGAGAATGATTCGAATTGAACAACGTACAAAAGTCGGTGTTCGATCTGAAAATTTTGTATGGGGAACTAAGTAATTACTTCATAATTAGGGGTCGAACAACGAATGAGAGAGCGAACGACGCTCGTCTGTACATGACATAAACGGAAACCGACTTTTCTGTTAATCGACTTTTTTTGTTCAAAAGTCTAAAGCAGGGTACACACTAAGATCTATTAATAAGGTCACCAAGGTAGCAATCGAAATCGGAAAACAGCTGTTTTTTCTTAAGTCTAATGTCAACATTTTCGACACAGTTTACGTTTTCATAATGGAAGTCAATACACGATAATGGATTTTGGCAGCAAACTTGAGAGGTATCGATTTCCAGCTGGTCTCCTTAGGTGACCTTATTTATAGGCCATGATACACACTAGCACTTTTGAATGACACTCTTGCCCAAAAATGCTTGTTTGATGACACTCTTGCCCAAAATTTGCTTGTTTGATAGTGTGGCCTCTGATGTTTGTCATTCATCAGGCAACACCAACGCGTGATGATGAGGTGCAATGCACTTCAGAGTGAAGGGAAACGATATGTGTTTATGTTATCGTTTGCTTGTGGTTGTTGTATATTCGATAACATATAACGCGACGGATGGCTCAACGCGAGCATTCTACTTAGCCCTTAAGCAGAATGGTCGCGTTGAGCGTTCAAGCAACTTCAAGCGTTAGTGTTATCGTTTCCTTGTGTTTGTTGTATTTTCGATTGAAACTCCATGTACATTAGAACTTTTTTCCGGGTTAACCTACTTTATGAGGATTTATTTGACATATATGCAAGGGAAATGACAATTGAGGTTAACGAAATCCGGTTAAATGTAAACGTACTATAAGTGAATAGCTCATAATTAAGAGCGCGTTTAGATTAAACGCATTTTAAGGGTCGAACAATGAAGGTTTGCCATCTTTCTCACTAGTTATTTACATTTCTCAAAGCCAACTGAAACGATATTTACATTAGAAATTTTATGGGGATTTATTTGTATGCAATGGAATTGGCAATTTAAACCCACTAGGTTAACGAAATCCGGTACAATGTAAACGTACTATTATAGAAGCATGCCGAAATCCTTTTATCTCCCAATTCATTCTTTGTAGTATTTCTTATATATTCTATGTAGTTTCAAAATCTATTTTTTATTATATTTCATAGATCTAGGAACAAAAAATAACGATCTCATTAAGTAACCACCATTATGAAGCGATTACTCGCTTAACAAATGTACTATTGAACACATCCCCGTGTGAACAGCTGAATACGTGACAAATGAATGTTCATTGAACACAGCTGCCTCCATTCATGTATCGTAGTTTGAAATTGTGTCAACAAATCACTGTGAATAGAACGCAAAAGAATAATCAATCTGAAATTGCTTTCGGGGGGAAATTAATAAATTGCTGAGTTATTTGCGCTGAAGTTACTACAAAACTGTACGAGTATTGGATAAGGTGAGTAATTGGGTATATTAAGTTAATTATTTGTGCTAACATTTGATTATTTGTGTCAATGGAGGCGGGCGAAGATGTCTTGCAGAAAAGTATGGTCGTTTGCACAAAGTGTGCTGTATACGCAATTCAGCAGAGAAAATAGAAATCAACTCTGGGGATTTATTGTGTGTGTTTTTTTGTTACCTGCCCATTCATTACCCAGCATTCTGCTGCTGTTGAAGTGTAAACTCTCGAAAGGCTAGATGCCAGTTGAGTGTAAAATTCAGGAATTGCTGTAGTCTTTTTATTAATTTTTTATACTTGTGGAATATAATTCAAAGTATTTTAGGTGATTAGAAACAAATTGTGATAATTGACTGGTGTATTTTATTTTGAATGAAGGCAAAAAACTGAAGTGAATGAAATTACTTAATGTTGGTGGTGGGCTGGCCAAAGTAAAAATAGTAATGAACACAAATTATTTTTAGTTGTGAATGTTATTTCAGTTTTTTTAATATTTGTTTTGAAGTAAACCCGAAAAATGCTGGCAAGCCAAAATTATTTGTTGTGTGTTGGAATAGATGAGGGGTGGAATTCATTTTTCACTTCGAAACTTTGTTTGGTTCGGTTTGATTTGACAGAGGCGACCCAACGGCAACGTTTTTTTCGGACTACGGTCGTTTGCACAAAAGTGTTTTGTGCCTGTGTGTTCAGAGAGACTTTGGCTTGCTGCGTTTCAAATGCTGAATTTCTTTATTTTCATTCAAGTTGTCTGTCTGAGTAGCCTGAGTAGCGCTGTGCTCCGATAACTGTTGGTGGGATAGTTTGTTTATATTATTTGGGGGATAGAAAAGATTATATATTCTTAATGTTTTAAAAAGTTTGGGAATTAAAAATAATAAATCTGCGTGTGTTTTTTCATTTTCAGTTGAATAATCCAAGGGAGTATTGTGAGTATTGTGGTGTTGAAACTCATTACATCCTTTGGGTTTGAGATTTTATTGTTGTTGGTAACAAGGTAATTTTATCATTCGCGCTTTGCGGAACATCATAGTGATTCATTAATTCCACGTAAGAGAGGAGAAAGTGGCAAAGAAATTAACAACACAAAAATGGTACTGGCCGAACGAAATTCAGAATTAGTACGCAATGGCAGAAGATCTCGTGGTCCCAGTCCAAATGGACATGGTGCTAGTTCGGGTAGTGCAAGTGGTACGGCAGCTCCTGGTGGTACTGGTACACCAGAAACATCATCAGACGATGACAATTGTAAGTTAATTAGAAAAAAACATGATTTTTTAAACAAAATATGATATGCATTTTATTGTTATTTTGTTTCAGCTATCAAACGTAATGGAAAATCAAAAGCTAAACAAAGCGAATATGAAGGTAATACAAAAAAATTAAAAATCATTTTTTTTCGCAATTTATATCAAAGTAATGGTATATTTGACTTTACAGAAAAAATCCGTGTTGGCCGCGATTATCAAGCGGTGTGTCCTCCATTAATACCTGAACAAGAGCGTAAACCTGAATGCCTTAATGATCGCGCTTTGCTGGTGTGGTCGCCCACAAAAGAAATTCCAGACACAAAACGTGAGTTTCTTCGTTTTATATAGCACTCAAGATTATTATATAAGGTTGGGCAGAGAAAATGTTATTGGGGGTAGTGTTCATTAAAACAAACGTAGTAAATTTTGATGCTTGAGACGTAGATATGAAGAGACCAACTAGTTTTAAATCGAACGTCCAATCATTTATTCCGCCTATACATTGTGATCGATCGCGGATGGTCTTTATTATTAATGTGTACCTGACTGATGCCCTTGAAGCGTAAGCACATCGAGGAGCTATTACTTCGACTACTACTCCGTTAGATCTCCATTGCGATTTTCTCAATGTCTGCCAATATACGTCATCAATTATATACATGGCATTTACATGCATGTATGATAGCAAGATAAAGAGTGACAGAAATCAAACCTTAACCCAACCCATTGGGGAAGTGATTAAATTATGCCGTCCGATGTGGAGCAATAGCAGTGATACACAGTGGAGTAAATTACATATATAATTACATTTATATGTACCCACGACAAGTAGGATCTACAAACCCAAACGAGTCCAACCAACGAATGCCACCTTAGCTCATTTTGTAAAAAAAGTAGGATTTCTTCAACAACAATTATTTCAAATTTAGATAATTATTGACGTTCACTTAAATATAAAATTGCAATTTTATAATTAGAAAAATTTATCTCTATATTTTTGAATATCCAAAAACTTCTCTATCATATGTTGTTTTTTTATTTACAGTTGAAGAATATATATCAGTTGCCAAAGAAAAATATGGTTACAATGGAGAGCAGGCATTGGGTATGCTATTCTGGCATAAACATGATCTTGAGCGGGCAGTTATGGATTTGGCAAATTTCACACCATTCCCCGATGAATGGACAGTCGAGGATAAAGTGTTATTTGAACAGGCATTTCAATTTCATGGCAAAAGTTTTCATCGTATACGTCAAATGGTAAGCTGCACCACCACCACCTTCATCGTCCTCTATCACTCTACTTTCACAAATAAATATATAATTTTTGCAATTCTCCATTTTCCAGTTACCCGATAAATCAATTGCTAGCCTGGTAAAATATTACTATTCCTGGAAAAAGACACGACATCGTCAAAGTGTCATGGATCGCCAGGAAAAAGTAAAAGCTAGCAAAGAGGGTTCTTCAGAAAATGGCAGCGATAATGGCAGTAACGAAGAATCCGACAATGATGACAAGGTAATTATTAGTTAGAATTAAGTATATATTTTATAATATAGTATATATATATGTATTTAATAATAATAAAAAATAGTACGTACGTAAATTCATACCCAATTTTATCGTTTTTTACACACGTGCGCTTTTTTGTTTGTTTTTTTCTTCTAATGATTTATCACCACACACTTCATTGCAGATTTTTAGTTATTAAATAATTTTATTTCTTTACTTTTATATTTACAAAACATACAAACAACCCCTATTACTGGCTTTTAAAAACAAAAACATACATATAGTTACGTTGTGGCTTAAATTTAGGTGTAGTGTTTTGAAACAAATGAACAGATAACATCACACATTTCTCACATACATTTTATTTTTCTTAACTTTTTATTTAGACAAACAAATTTCTATATTTTCTTTTTTGGAACAAAAAAAATAATAATAATTATTATAATAAAAAAGTATATAAGAATATAATAAATTTTATATAACAATGTGTTTATTTGTATTATACTTTGTGGCTATTATTATAATATAAAAAAAATTATTTAAATCTAATCGCATATAAAAAAACGTAACCTTTAAAACATATTTCTTTTTTTTTGTATACTTTAAAATGGAACATTTCAAATTCAATTTTATAAGCATTTAATTTTATTAGTAAATAATATTGAATTGTATTTTTTTTGTCAAGAAAATATACATACATTCAATGTCTGTCGGTGTTCCATTTTAATGTATGCATACAACAAAAAAATATATATTAAAAAAATCAGAGAAAAGAAAATGTTTAACATACAAAAAAAAAGAGAACCTGTAAAAAATATATAAATATAAAATTATCTATAAGTCCAAAAATGTTCGAGTTTATTTTTGTGTACATAACAAAGGAAAATAACAATATTATTTCTTTGTTGTGTATTTTAATTTATTTATTTTATTATTTACAGAATTAATTGTAATTTTTGTTTTCTAGAAAATAGCTAACATATTTGAATTTGATTTGAATTTTTATTTATTTATTTTCTTAATTAAATTAAAAATTCTTATTGTATATAAACAGACACATTTCTAGACAATATAGAGAGACCATTTGAGGTGTGTAGCGTAATAAGAAAATCATAAAAATCCAAATTTTTAAATCCAAATTTAAAATATGTCTTCGAATACAACTACACTATTTTTCTGGCATAGTGGTATTGTCACTACTATCCCTTCAGTAATCTACAACGATTTTTGCAGAGACTTCCATGTCTATTCTTAAGAAATTGTCTTTGTTAGGTTCCTGTCTAGTTTGCCTCTTAGGAGAAGACAATGAGAGATAAGTTATTTCATTTATTTTGTACATTAAGAGTTCAATGTAATTTTTATATTAACAAAGTTCGAAAGTTATTCCAGTTTTTAAATAAGTTTCAACTCTCCTCAATTGAGTCCATACTAGCGCAGTATTTGCTTAATGATGTCTCAACAATTTTAATCTCTGGAATGGCAATTTAACAATTTCCTGCCAAAATTCAACTAATAACCCCTGGGATGTTAGTGTAGCCTTGGGGAACATAGTTAAAGAAACGATTTTATGCCGAATGAGACTTTGCAACACTACTTATGTCTAGTCTGCTTCTAAATAGTCACTTATGTGTTACAACATTTTGTAATAGTTCATGAAATAAATGTGTGTTGTTTATATGTATGTTCAAAATTTAAAATACTTGGCTATTTTCTTACAAAACAAAAACAAATAAATTGGAGAAAATTCAATACAATATTAGATGATTTGGCTGAAACAAATTAAAAAAAAAATTTTGTTTTGATGCAGATGGTTCCTAATTATAATCATCTAATATTATATTTAATTTTCTATTTTTTTATTTAAACGTTATTCATCACAATGTGTTGTGAATAGTGTGACAATGACGTACTACTATTTTTTTTTTACTTTATTTTATTTAAGTAAACCAGAAACATCATTATTTATAGTTTAATTATTGTTTTTTAATTCATTTTTATTTTTCTTTTTACTCAGCATAAGCTACTTTGAAATTAATTATAAGCTACATTAAATTTAAAAAAACCTAGATTTTAGTACAAGACTGTTTATATAAATGTTTTTTTTTCTCTTAAACTAACTATTCAAAATTAGCAAAAAAAAGTCTCAAAAAAAAAAAAAAAAAAAAAAATTGGAAAAATACAAAGAATACTATAATCTAATATTTTAAATTCATATCAACCAAAATCATAAGAAGAAGAAGAAAAAAATAATAAAAGAAGAAAAAATCTATGTTTTGTCTGCGTGAAGATTAAACAAAATTCATGTGTTTCTTTTCAAATGCAACCTTTTTTTTCTTCCATCACCAAAGAAAAAAACAAATAAAAATTAATAAATACATAAAAAATATTGATAACTAGTAATTCTGAAAATCTAAATAATTGGCAATAAAAATCAAAATCTTTGGGTAAGAAAAATAAACCAATAATAGTGAATAATATCAACAATGAAATATGGAGTCGAAAAAAAAACAATTCACTAAATTAAAATTAATAAGCATTTGTTTATATTTTATATAACAATGTGTATGTGTGTGTATATGTATAAAATGCAATGTGTATATATTTTAATGATTTTTTAAGCAAACAATTTTCATTGGACTCTGATTTATCTCACAGATCTTTGTTGAATAAAATAAAAGATAGACTCTTAAAAAAAGAACAAATTCCATATTTAAGGAAACTCCATGAATAGAAAATGAAGATTAACTTAGAACAACTTTGTTTCTGAATTTGATAATCTTAAATCTTGTTTAAGTACGCGTATTTATCATTTTTAAAAAAATATTTTTTCAAATTAAGAATGTTTCCCAGCATCAGGAATTCCACCTATGGGAGATTGCTGGCTTGATGCTATCCATTTCCTATAGATAGTATTTCCATTGCGTCGATGCATACTTAAGTTGAGAAATTGACGATCATGCCGGTACTTGCCAAATAAGTCCCAAACTTGAGATCATAGATATCTACCAGGTCTGTTTCTCCTTAGATCGCTCATTTTTTTACTCCTCATTGTGAGTAAAAAAATTTTATACAATTTTGCATCTTCAAAATTTACGTCCTTTCCTTGGTACACAGGGTAAAACAAAATCAGTTTGTACGGTTCTAATAAATATAAAAAGGGAAAAAACAATTTATTAAATATATGAACAATTAAATATAGTTATTAATTGTATATAACAGAGATGCCTACATTGCATTTTTAACATATCCTATATACACCAACAAAATTAATTCTTTTTAACCAATCAGTTTGTTACTAACTTCTTCTTTTTAAATTTGCTCATTTTTTCATTCATTTTTTTTCATGCCTCTTTTATATATATTTATTTGTTTGGAATTAGTTAACATTTTTTTTTCATATGTCTACTTATATTTTCGTTAATATTGCAAAATATAATTTTACTTGAAAGGAATCTTGCAGATATAGACGACTCTACTTCCCCTTCTCCTCAGTCCGCATATTTCAAATACCCCCCAGAAGATCGGTGTTCTTACTTCTTCTTGTATATATATATTTTATTTATTAACGTTGCAAGTTGTTGGCGGCAAAATTCAATGTGTTGTTGAGGGCAGTAATAATGAATAAAAAATACATAAAAAATATTTTGAAAGAAATTACATAAATTTTGTTTGATCAACACCACACCACTACTCTTAATAGATTTATTATTGTGTAAATTGTTTTCTATCTCTCTTTCAAATCCTATTTCATGAATGTTTGTATTCATAAGATTTTGTCTCAAAACCTTGTTGTAGTAGTGTACTTTTTTTAAAGAAACAAAAACAATTTTTTTTGTAAATTTTGATTTTACACAAAACAATCTTATGTTTTTTCTTATTCTCTTGTCTCTTTTCCGCTTTGCGTGTCACAATCACTCTCGCTCGCTCGGTTTTGCGCCCCGAATTAGGATCAAACATTGTCAAGCCATGCAGGAATTTTATATGATCAAACAAATGATTCGAGTTTATTGCATGATGGTGGTGGTGTTGATATAGAAAATCATTTTCCAAATTCTGCCAATAACAATAACAACAACAACAGCAGCAGCAGCAACAACAATAATAAACAGCAATCTCATACACCAACAATTTCAAATTCCGATTCAATTTATTCAAATGGTATAGCTGCTGCCACAACAAATGCCACATCATCTGCTGCAGGCGCAGGCGGTCTCATTGCTGGTGGTGGTAGTGGCGGCGGTGGTTATTGTTCAAATTGTGGTGTAGCCTGTAATGTATTACACAATTCACCACATGGTAAAATGTGTTTCAGTTGTCATCATCACTGGAGGTATAAGAAGTGAAACATTCCTAAAACCCAAAATTGATAATTTAATATGTATGTCCTTCCCTTCCCTCTTCAACCATAAATTTACTCAAAATTTTTAGACGCACTGGCAATAAACGTCCCACATCTGGACCATTTTTTGGCAAAAGATCTCGTGATCGTAATGCAGATCGTCACAAACGTAAACCACCACGTGGCATGTATATAAATCATGATGATATTGTGGCCTTGGCCAGTGCCAATGATAATCAAGATGAGCTATTGGCAAATATAGATCGTGAAATTGTATCCCTTTTGAGTCAAGTAAGATTTTCATATTTTGCAATATTGTTCAATGTATTTTTTTTTGTTTAGTTTTGTTTTGATTTTCTATATGTTAAGCTCTAACACATACATTTATACTAACAATATCATGTCGTATATCCATTCATTTTTTTTTCAAATGGTAAACATGGAATGTAATAGACACAGCGAAATACATCAATGGGGGACAGTTTTTTTTTTTTTTGACATAGAAAATGTTAATTTTGAAGCTGTGGTTAGCATTTAAATTTAAATATGTTATTAAAACGTACCTTAAAATTTGACGTACCTAAAAAACTGTAACTCATCGACCATTTTGCTTGGGAGAAGAAGCGCTGTGTGTTGATATTGCCGGTCTAAATGACATTAATACCTACCTTCCACAAAGACCCAAAAGTCCAATCTATGTGTCGTTGAAACGACACGGCGGTAGTGTAACACAATCTTCGCCTCAAAAGTTCAGTGTCACGTTATCTTACAAATCTTAAAGAAGGTTGGATGTCACAGCACTTTTGCAGTCGGTCCTTACAGAACAAGTGTTAATTGGTCCTTACAGAACGAGTAAAAGTGTTAGTGGAGGTCTACGGAATTATTTTGGAGAATTTTTTATTAACTTTATAAATATTTCAATAATTGTGACAATTTGTGTTTTTTTGGGGGGAGTTACCAAATGGAATGGACCGATTGGGCCCATTTTCGGATTTAATTTAGAGTTGATAAAGATGTGCAGAATTTGCACGAAATCGAAATCGGAGTGGGCCCATCTTCCGACTTGGTTTAGATGAAATTGGATAATCCCGTCGCTTCAAATAAGATTTAAAGTTTTTAAAATATCACCCTTTGTGGGGATGGAAGGTACTAGAAGGAGTGGACCGATAAGTCCCATCTTCCATTACTATATACAGGCTTGGTTAAAATATATACAATGTATTATACAATTATTTTTGTAGCAAAATATTGCCCATTTTTGGCGGGGGAAGGTACCAGAAGGTATCAGCGTTGGCCGATATTTCCCAACTTTGGGCAGACGGAAATTTGTCTGAAAGAAACATGTGATCTAAAACCAATATTTTATGATGTGACACATTTTGAGCTGAGGGTATAAAAAGATAAGAGATCTTTCCCTCTGTATATCAGCGTAACATTATTCAAAATCAAATTCTGATTTCATTTATCCAAATGGTATTACAAATGCCACATCATCTGTGTCTCAGAGTCTCGTTATGGTTTAACAAGGATTTCGTTATTGCCAGGAGACATAGAATAGCAACATTTGCATTGTTTTCAATGCAAATGTCAATTGGACTTTGGTCTATTGGCAATGTGTGGATAGCTAATTCGACCCCTTTATGAACGAGTCATTGTCTTCAGTGTGAGATTTGGAAATGAGTAGCCAAGAAAAGACCGCAGTTAGGCCACTACTTAATGTTTTCGTGCCCTTAGATATTTTTCGTAATCTTGCTGCTTCATTAACTCAATTTGACTTCTTGAATTTGGGAGACGTTTCAACATTTGTGAATCGAATGATTATTTTGTTTACCAACATCTTCTTCTTTCTCTTCGAAATCAACTTCATTATAAATCATTCACATTTCATCATCATTCATTGAAACCCACCAATCATCATCATCCAATTTCATTCATTTCTCCATGTTAAGCGTATTTAAGTTGGGATTTCTTTATCTAAACAAATTAATGTATAATGCAACAACAACAATAGCAACAAAAAACTATGAAAATATTGTTTTTAGGTACAATTGAATAAGCAGAATATCTCAGCGTTGAAACGTAAAAATTCCGACAATTTGGAAGATATACGTCCAACGGAAAATGCAAATCGTGTTAACGCTCGTTGGACAAATGATGAAATTCTATTGGCCGTCAATGGTGTACGTAAATATGGTAAAGATTTTCAGGTAAGATAAATGCACACTTGTCTCATCGTTCGTTTCCAACATGTATATTTTTGTTGTCCGGTCTAGGCCATAGCCGAAACTTTGGGTACCAAAACTGAAGCAAATGTTCGTACATTTTATATAAATAATCGACGTCGTTACAATTTGGATCAATTGATAAAGAAACATGAAGCCGAGAAGGAAGCTAATGCTGTTGCTGCGGGTAGTGTTACTTCCAGCTCGACGACACCACCAAATGTAACATCGTCTGCTAGTTCCACCATTACATCTACATCTTCAGCATCGTCGAATGCCAATACAGCCACAGCTGCTGGTTTGGATGCTGCTGTGAGCAGTAATACTTTGTCGTCTACAACCATAAAAGACGAAGTAACACAAATTTCGTCAAAGAAAACAAATGTACCGCAAAGCATTGTCGATGAATCGGATAACACTACCTCAAGTGAGACGGCCATATCGAAATCGACGATTTCCACAATTACCACATCGGATGATCGAAAATGTGAGAGTAGTTTAAGTATTGGCAATAAGGATAATGTCATTATGGAGGTAAGAATTACAATATTTGATTTTATGTTGACTAATTTAATAAAATTATTTATTTTACTTGTAAACATTTCAATACTCATTCCAATTTGTTTCCTTATTTTTAGATTGATTTAGATGCCGATCAACCTGAAGTTGTGCCACAGCCACCACCAGCCAAAAAGATGGCATTAAGTATTTCTAATCAGGAATTTCCCAAATCCAGTCCTGTATAATTTTATCTTGAATAATATTTTTTTTTTAATTTTTTCCCACAAACTAAAATTTAATATGTTAGATATAAAATATACGACGTTCTACTATATATACATTAACATTAAAACAAGAAAATGTGTTCTTTAACAAAAATTAAAAAAAAACCCAAACTGCTAAATTGGCTTCAACGAAAACAAAAATAATGTTTTGGTAAATATAAACTAAAAACAAGAGAAGGGTGAAAGACAAGCGCCTCTTAATAAAATTATTTCTTTTAAAACGCTGAAACATTTACATATATCAATGTAGTAGATCTTCATTGATGGTTTAACAAACTTTGGCCGTTAATGGTAAAAAATTCATTTTATCAAAAATAAATAACATAATCTTATTCTTACGTGTTCTTTTTTTTGTTATAGTTATTAATTTTATTTTAAATACATATTTTTTTTATATAAACTTTTATTTTATTTTTAATTGAGATATAATAAGTAATATCTTAACGTACGAATATATAAACCGAAAACCGAACGCTGTCCAAAATTTAGAATTATGTTGTCGTGGCCAACAAAAGAAAAACAAATTATTATTCGTACTACATATATGTATTTACCTATTAATTAAACTAGATTATAATTGTATTCTCAAAATTCAACTTTTGATTTGCTGCTACTACATTTGCTATACCGTAAAATATTCAAATTCCAAACTCTAATAATAAAGCAACAAATCTAAAGTTGTACATTAAAATACATCTGAATTGAGTTTATTATTATTATAAATAAAAATAAATAATGTGGTGTAAACTTATTTACATCATACAATAAGTAAACAAAAAAACAATATTGTTTGGATTTTGTTCAGGGTTTATGTTTTAAAGTGCTCACAGATTTCGACATGTCTACTGGGGATATTCATAACCAACATTGATCGGATGTTTTCTCAACGCGACACAACAAACTTCTTGGAATTGAACTGGGCTTAAATGAGGGGGATGAATCGTCCATATGTTTTTTGGCGGTCCCTCTAGCCGTGATTGTGACTCACAAATATTTAATTAAATTTTTTTCATTGAAACAATTTGAAACAATCTACAGTCATCATCTTCAATTTTGTACAATTCAGCTGTTAAGTAGTACCGGCCTTAATCCAATCCTCGGAATGTTCCATAGTGAAGGGTTTCAGGTCCGGTCGTTAGGAAGCTTATCTTTAATTTTAATGTATTGACGGTCATTGATGTGTAAGACTTGTTTTTTTTCGGAGAAGTGATCAAGTTCGAGAGCGAAAAATTCCGCTTTGGTGAAAATTAGTTATTCTGAATTACAGGGAATGGGAGAATGTGATGACAGTTTGTGCGAAATTTTTCCCTAATAAATTTAAAGGGAGCTGACTACAAAAATATAAGTATTAAATATTTTTATGAAAAATATCTATACAATACTCATTCTATGACGATTTTGAATTTTATGAATGGTTCTGCATATTTTTAACTCAACAACAACAAATTGGGAATCCTATTGATAACGATGCTTGCTCAACCAAATATTGTTACGGAATTTATAAAGGGAATAAGGAATATTAAACCGAGTTTGATACAATTTGGAGGTGAAATAAATGACTTTGTGTGAGGATCTGTCTCTAAAGAAATAAATATAAAAAATTATGGAAACATCATATAACCAAATTTGACTGATGAGCCGCTTAACAGTGAAAAACTCAAATAAAAATTATGAAAAACAATAATAAAGTTACAATTTTTTTTTCAAAATTATCGTGTGCATAATTTGAAGGACGAAATATAGGAGGAGAACAAATCATAAAATAACACTGTGCGACAAATTTGAATTTTTTGATAATTACCGGAAAATTCCAACAGATTATGAAAGAGGGTCGGGATGTAACCTAAAAAGGCGGGATAATATTCTCCCTTTTCAAGTATTTTGATAATTTTCGAATTATGATTTTAGGTATATAGTGTCTTCGGCAATATTACTGACAAGATATCGAGGAATATTTTGGTATGCAACTTTAACCCTCAACCGACTCATTAAAGGGGTCTTTCGGTCCCTTTTCCCAGGAGTGATTTAAAACTCATTCAAAACGGGATTATATCTGCTCAGAATATTCTACAGAAATGTTCGCCATAAAGTTTTACTATAAGTCTCAGAATAGACTAAAACTCAAAAATCAGCCTAAACGTCAAAAATCTTAAAAAGCAAAAACTCATTTTAGGGTTAATATTGTACTTATTACTAGTTTTTACCCATTTTTTCCACAAGGTGTCGTTTTAGAAGGATAGTACAAGGGACAAAAATATTCTCCATCAATTTTTAGCATAAGTCACTGAACAAGAGAAATCTGTATATATAATGTATATACCGAATATATAGTCATACATTTTGAACCAAATATTCAAAATGTTTTTGTATTTTTTTGTCAAAGACATTTCCTAGTATTTTTTTGACTAAGTGGATTAAAGTAACATGAAACTTGATTTTAGGTATATAATGTCAAAGAATAAAATATTCTAGGTCAAAATCCACTTCAAGTCTGAGAACAAGCTATATATTTATATTCAATAGTTTTTAAGAAATTTATATTATAAAATTATATATAATAAGAACAATTTTTTTGCAGACTTCAGTTAATTTTATAAGGTAAATTTCTTAAAAACTATTGAATATAAATATATAGCTTGTTTGAGACTTGAAGTGGATTTTCACGTAGATTATTTTATTCTTTGACATTATATACCTAAAATCAAGTTTCATGTTACTTTAATCCACTTAGTCGAAAAAATATTGGGAAATGTCTTTGACAAAAAAAGGAAAAACATTTTGAATATTTGGTTCAAAATGTATGACTATATATTCGGTATATACATTATATATACAGATTTCTCTTGTTCAGTGACTTATGCTAAAAATTGATGGAGAATATTTTTGTCCCTTGTACAATCCTTCTAAAACGACACCTTGTGGGAAAAATGGGTAAAAACTAGTAATAAGTACAATATTAACCCTAAAATGAGTTTTTGCTTTTTAAGATTTTTGACGTTTAGGCTGATTTTTGAGTTTTAGTCTATTCTGAGACTTATAGTAAAACTTTATGGCGAACATTTTTGTAGAATATTCTGAGCAGATATAACCCTGTTTTGAATGAGTTTTCAATCACTCCTGGAAAAAGGTACCGAAAAGACCCCTTTAATGAGTCGGTTGAGGGTTAAAGTTGCATACCAAAATATTCCTCGATAATTTGTCAGTAATATTGCCGAAGACACTATATACCTAAAATACAAGGATTTCAAGAAATCATAATTCGAAAATTATCAAAATTCTTGAAAAGGGAGAATATTGCCCCGCCTTTTTAGGTTACATCCCGACGTAAACTTTCAAAACGCCGATACACGTGTCTTCTTTTTTTAGCCCCTCTTTCATAATCTGTTGGAATTTCCCGGTAATTATTTTTTGTGTGCACAGTGTAATTGGCCACATTAAGAATTTAAGGAGATAAAATATCGAAATTAAGTAAGAAGGCACACAATTATGTAGTGAAATAATAAGCTGTGAATTAATATAATTCAATCGCATATTTCTTCCCATTATTCGTTGTGTCTTTGACATCGTTCAATGCGGATTTGCCATTACAAGAAAATGTTCTTTTATTCTGTTGTAATTGTTGCATCAAAACAATTAACAGCTCATGATGCAATAATAAGGTGATGTATCAAAACAAAAACATTTGTTTTTGTCTCGATTGTCTGTCAAAATTTTCCTTATATGTTTTCAAATGGTTGGCAACACTGTTCATTGAATTCAAGTAAAATTACCCACTTTGACAGTTAATTGAGACATAAGCTGCGCTAAATGGACTACCCATGGCCTATAAATAAGGTCACCAAGATAGCAATCGAAATCGGAAAACAGCTGTTTTTTCTCAAGTTTAATGTCAAAAATTTCGTTTTCATAATGGACGTAAATTCACAATAATGCATTTTGACAGCAAACTTGAGAGGTATCGATAATCAGCTGGTCTCCCTCGGTGACCTTATTTATAGGCCATGGGACTACCTATTCATTGTGCCATGTAACAGCTGTTTCACATGCCGTCGTATGTTGCCATATTTTCAAACATTTTTTTTAATTACAAAGTAGTTTTACAGCGGATTCTTGATATTTCATATTTATATTGTTATTCAATTGAAATAGCAATAAAAAGTAACAACTTATAAAATCAATAAATAAAATATTGAAAAATATTACAAAATTAAATTACAATGGGGCAACACACATTACAACTTAAATTACAATATGGCAACTCGAATCTTTTTTCAACCACCATTTTTGAAAATCATCTTGCACGAATTGTTTAATGCACCTTCATCCAGAATAAGGGGAGAATATGAAATAGGGCTGTAATTTGTAAATGTGTCTGGCTAGATTGGCAGTTTTTCCTAACATTTTTATACCAAAACGATCGTTGTAATCAACTTTGCATGTCGACGTTCTCCGAGATCATGTGGAGAATGCTTACAAAAATTAAAACCAGATTTTATTATAAATAATTCTATAAATGAAAACAGGCCCAAAATATAATATTTAATAACATGTGAAAATTCGAACTTTATCTCGCTTTTAGAATTGAAAAGGAGAATGAGGATGAATTGAATTTTCATTCGTTTAAGGTTATTGTTTTGTCTTCGTAACACAAAAAAAAAAAACATACTTTGTTTCATTTAATAATTAAATTAATTAATTTTTTTATTTTATTATAATAATCGTTATCCTATAATACAACACATATTTTTATGAAGATTTTTTTATGTTTAATTTTAATATATGTTATGTTATACAATAATTTGTAATTGTAATATTTACCTAAAAAATGCATTTATAAGAAATATTGGGTGTGTATTTTTATTATATACATTTTAATAGATTGCATTTTTTTTATTAAAATTAAATAATTGTTTCTATTTTCTATCAAGTAACCTAGCGTTTACAATAGACAGTTGATTTCA